GGATAAGGACAAGAATAATAAGAACAAGGACTTTAATGAATCTAATAATAATAATACACATAGTAGCTGCAATGTAGATAAAGACATAGATATATGTGATGGTAGAGAAGATCAAGATAATACTAGTAATGATAAAGATGACCACTAGTGGTCAGAAAATGCCTTATCTAGAGATGAAGGGGATAAGAAATTAGTCTCACCTTTGACTGCTATGATAGCAGAGAATAGCCTTAGATCTAATTATCCAGTGATACTGCATCCTACTCTTCTTCAGTGAGCCAAGAAGTTGAGAGACTGCTGCCAAAGGCCAGACTCTTAATTATCTTAATTATCTCTTTTGTGGGCATATTTTGATTTGGTCCTAGTCATATTCACTACTCAAGCTGATGGTGGCCAGCTAGATCCTCTTCATTCTCATAGATGCATTTGCCATATCCATCAGTATTAATACACATGTCTGTTTTTGACTTATACATTTAACCTCTAGTCATCTTGCTAAAGTGATTTATGCTGCCTTACTTTAATACTGACTCACATTATTAAGATATTTAATCCATACTAGTACACACTGAATTATGACAGCCAATGATTGATGATATCACATTTAGAGTATTTGTAGATACTATGCAAAAGTAGATTAACCTAAGGTAAGAATCTTATTTTTTGCAGTTCACTAATATAGTAGGTTGTATTATGCTTTACACTGAAGTTATATATCTCTTCCTTAACTTCAATTTACTGAAGCTCACAGCTTAGAGATTATATTTGATAGGAAAGAGTTGTCTGTTATATCAATTATAAAGATGTATTATGTAGTTTATCAAGATATGGTTGCCATACTCTGCCAGTGCCTCCTATCTAGTGCTAGCAAAGCTATACTTCAACCCCTCAAAAATCTTAAATATATTATAGACATGCCTTACCTACAGATTATTAGCATAGAGATCTTAGTATTCAAATTAGATGCCAGCTAGATTCTGATAAAGATAGTTATGGATGATAATAAGCTTTGTAACAAATATTTTAGCTAGAATTATGAAGAACATCAGGGAACTGGAAATTATGGCACCTTCCAGCCATCTGAGCTCATCTAGATCTGTGTAATATCATATCACAAATTGATAAGGTATGCTCTCTATCTTTAACCTATACTATCACCATCTTACCACTGCACCTACTATACATGTATGCCTGCCTACCCATCATAGGTATGTTTCATTTATCACACTATCAAACATGTAAGTATTTGATTATATCTCCAAATCTTAGTACTCACTAGTATTTTGTAGTATATCTAGCACTATTTCTCATTGTACAGATTTGTCTATACTCCTAAGCATAGATCACATGTATAAGTGTACTTTCTGTGCATTCTGGATTGACTCTTACCCTTAGCAAGACTACTATGGTTCCTTTTTAAGCATGAACCTATTTATGTCAGAAGCTGTTAGTGCATTATCCTGGCAGGCTATACTTGCTGCTGGCCTTGTATAACCAAAACCTATATTCATTTACTCTTGTGACAATTGTCATGAAGAAGTCCCATGAATGCACTGCAAATCTAATGAACATGGAAATAGGGGTTATTGGATGGCAATAGTGAGTTGTTTCTAAGCCAGTCAGATCTTATTCTTAATTACTGTTTAAATATAGAATAGAAAATTCTCTAGCAATATCTCGGCCAAACATAATTTCTTCTGCTGGGTATGAGGCCCTTCTGACTCACCCACACTATCCTCGGATGATACAGCTCAATCCTGTTCCTCAGCATATACAAAAATGTGGGTCTTATAACTATGCTATGTCATTTAGGCCAACTTTTAGATGGTAGAAACATCCTAATTCTCAGATACCACAGCTACATGTATCTTATGAGAATACTGAAATTTATATAAAGGCCTTATTATAATATGAAAATTGTACAAGGTGAAGCAAAGATGGTGTGAAGAAGAAATAGTGACTAGCTAGCAAGAAAGCTAGAGCACTAATAAAATCCTACTGAGTGCAAATGTGCTGTGTTGACCCAAGAGGATTGCTATGAAGTACTTTCTTCAAGTATAATGTGAAAGGAGTAAATACAGAATGGAAGGGAACAAATCTGATCTTGGAATGCGAATCTGCTGGTAGGAACAAAGGCAAGACCGCAGGTCCAGTGAAAATGCAATGAGAACTGGATGAAAGTGAGAGGTTTCTAGGTAAGGAGTGGTGGGTACTAGGTAATATGCAGTTCTGTGGCTAGGTATAGACGAGGCCTGAGGCCAAGATAAAACTAGGTATAAATTGCTAAGTTAGAATCTGAGAGCAATTCAGATCCGTGCAGAGCCTAGGTAATGAAACTTAGAGGCGTGTTCTTGGAGCAGTCAAGAATATGCGTGTTCAAAGTGAGAAAGAATCAAAGCTTGTCAATTGATCAAAGATACTAAGAACATCTAAGTAACTCTGCAAAACAAAGGTAGCATCTAAGGGAAAGAAAGTACTATACTGTATGTAGTGTGTGAGAGTATATCCTACTGCATGAGTGTCTGGAACCCATAGGCAAGAACTGTAGCGATGAAGAATAAGGCAGATAAGTAATATGTAATTAGGATGTGCGCAGAACAGAATACATAGATACATGTAATAAGCCATACTACTTATCAGTCAACTCAAAAGAGAAAATGGACACACACCAGCAGAGTTTGGTGGACATGGAAAGGACACATATAGACGGTATAGAGAAGCAGATCCGAGAGCAGATGATTATTGGATGAGTGATGACTGAGAAGAACTTGTTGCTAGATGAAATGAGAATGATATAGAACTTGTAACTTCCTATAGGTCCTAACATAAGTATCAAAAGACACTTGTTTAATATTGCAGCCTTCTAGCTATGCAGCACCCATGCAGTGCATAAGAATATCACAATTTATCAACATGATATAGATCATGGATTTTGTAATGTCAATAAGTTCTAATTTATATATACACATTACTTATAATAAATAATAGTATACAGAAATAATAAACTTTGTGGCCTTCCAGCTGTGCAACACCTATGTAGCTCATAAGAATATCATAATTTATCAACATGATGTATGGGCAATGGCTAACTGCAGGGCCAGATAGCCAGAGCACCCACTGAATGTGGTCTTTGGTGCTGTTGATCTAGTCTATGATCTTAGAGATGATTTCCGTGTATGTCTTTAGAAAGCACTTTTTCCCAGTATCTAGACCTATCTGTGCCTTTTGCATACACCATGCCACTAAGGTCTAGTGTCTTGCCTGAAGACATATGAATAGATGCTAAGTGAAAAGTACATCTAGTCCTCATCTGTATGGTAAACAAATATCTCTACATCACAAGTAACTTGGTCCCAGAAGCTTTGAATGAGTGCATTCAAAACATTAATAGACTGTTGAGTTGTACTTTCTGCTTCAGAGATAACATTTTTCCTGAGTCTCTTCTCTGTAGATACAGTAGAGTAGTGATAGTGAGCGAATGAGCAAAGCACAAAAAGTCATAGAATCCTCACAGGAGTTAGCTGAGGAATGAACTGGGAGCACTTGAGAGTCTGCTGAACTATTTATCCGATGATGCCCTGTATTAATGGAATTCCACCAAGAGTCTTGTCTTGCATTATGAAATTGTAGACTTGACCTAACTTCTCAAGAAGCTGGAGTATTCCTTGGTCCTAATCTGTTTGAGTGAGAACTGTCTGCATGCATAACAGCTGAGGCAGGAAATAAGACTCGGAGTGAAACAATGCGTACTTTGGATGCAGAAGACAGTCTTCCCAGTACGACCTTTGCATAAGGATGTACCTATGCAAAATGATCAGTTTGGTTCCAGCCAAGAGGAATGGACTCATACATCTACAAGCTTCCCAATAACACTGTCAAATATCCTGAGAGGTCAAAGATATGTGTCCCCAAAATTATGGCCATGTTCACTGGAGTAGCATCATCGTATCTTAGATGGTGTGCCAAAAATACCAAATAATTCTATATGACCCATCCGATTGAGTGGATAGAGCCATGGAGGAAGGACAATCTTGCCTAGACTGAGGAATAAGCAAAAAACATCAACTTGAAAAGTGAGGATGAAACCAACCATAGGCTGGTTCGGTGAAGGATGATTGACAAGTCTTCAGAAAGTTGCAATCATTGCCGGATTCTGTCAGCAACACCCTAAATCTGTTGTATGAGCTCTGATGGTGATCTTGTAGAAGGGAACAAGATAGATTATTAGTTATAAGACTGCAATAGTGGAATAAATGAGGTCAAAAACAGGGGACAGTCCCAGACAGAACTATCAACAGATGCAAAGTTGAAAGTCCATGAATCCCGGAAACTATTAGACCATCCAGATGCTGAGAGATATCACATTAAACATGGTAGAAGAGAAATATACCCACTATATACACAACCACACAAATTCTTTCTAGGAGTGCAAATTATATCTGTTAGAGTTGACTCAATGCACACATTGTCTAATGCTGACCATAAACCTTGTTTACTAGATGGCTAAGTGTTCATAATAAAATTTAAACTTCATCCTACAGCTGAATATTCACCTTCTTCCATGCTCTTTCAGCCTCCTTACATCTTTAATGATTGGTTCTCGCTTTGACCACTCTCTTATGCCTCACTGGCAACACATGAAGTCTTTCTCACTTTTGACAATACCTGATGGACATGCATGTGGTATGTCCTGGAAGACACCTCATTATTCTCCTTGCTCACTCACACATAAGGTGAAACCCCCCTTGTGTCTATGGGCATGATGTGCCTTAAGTTGACTCTTCTGTGCTGCCAAATCAGCATTATTCTTTTGAAGGTGGATGTCGCCTTAACCTCACTTCCTTCTTTACATATACTGTGATAATGTACCTCGTGTCTAGAGCCACACAACTCATATGCATATTTTACACCATGATCATAATTTACCTTTATCTTTAATGCATGTCATCTGTACTCACTTCTGTCATAAAACTTTGACCTTGCTCCCAACTAATACTTGCTTGCAGTCTGGCTACCCCATTGTTAGCTCCTGCCTCTTGCATGAACCCACCCAAGCATACTATTATGGCCTTGACCCTATACTCATGCTTCTCTCTATTACTTATACTACTCCTGCTACTGCCATGGGGATGGGCCATTGGATTGGGATGCTGAAAGCAGGTATCTGAGGTTACTTATTATATAAAAGTTTTGGTTGGATTGCAGGATACGACACTGGTATGTCATACTCACAGTTGCAGGATACATAAAAGATGAATCTAATTGTCTAATTGGAACTAGATGTTGTGATTTGGGCCTCTCACCCACTTCCACTTGCTTCACTGCCTACTTAGGTCTTACATTAATGCTATCACTCAGCTCTCTCTTTCCAGCTGCCATGTCGCCAAGGGGCCCACCACACCCTCTCGCACTCTCAATTTTGATTCTGAGAAGGTGACAATGGTCACACACAAGGGTATTACCCCTGTTGAACCTTGGATCTTCAAGGGGGTGTTATTCATGAATGTCTTGGGGCTTGATATGAGGGGTGGGGCTCGACTAGGGTGTGGTGTAATTCTAATAAGGTGGGATCTGTGAGTGTGAAAGATGGCTGAGTGGAGCGGGTTGGTCAATGCTCAGATTTTGTGGGAAGGGCTGTTGATATTATGGACCTTCAAGGCAGTGGATCATGCCTAGACTGATGTGCTTTGGTGCGCTGTAGAGATAAGGCTTGGCTTAAGCTGAGCACAAACAATGGAAGTGTTCATAACCCTCTAAATAGGGACCTCCCTGCCATATTAGGTGACATGATCATCAGAGAATTTGCTGTGCATATGCTTTCTACCCAGTGTCTGCATTTTTGAATTGACCTTTTGGATTGCAAGCTAGCCTATGATAGTGGCATCACAATGGCCATTTCTGTGCCCTCTTGGACCTTCCTGCAGGACATATCTACTGCATTTAGGCAGACAGTGGTACTTAGGAACATGACATTTGAGGAGGGTGGAAATGAGACACTTAGGAGTGTTAAAAAGGTTGGCTTATCATGCTTTTCCCGTGTTGAATTAACACTGATATCTAGAATTAGGGATAAAGCCACACTTGTTTTGAACATTGAGAGTGCAGACATAATGGAGACACTGCTTTGACTCGAAGATGAGTATGAGGTGGACTTTTAATACAAACCACTTCTGATCCAACTCCTATGGGCTCTAATTGCTCAGACAAAATCAAACCAGCAGGGAGCTTTATATCACTTTCGAGGGGGCAACTGAGGCTCATTTCCTTGCACACGGGATTGTAAGGGAAGGGGTGGTGGAACAGGTTGGGAGGGCTGGAAAAGAATCTACGAGAGAGGTTGGAGGGAGGGGCTATTGTTTGTGAGTTTTTACTCTCTTGTTCTCACAATATTTTGTATATGCTTGGGATGGATCTGATTAGGCTCTAGATGATTCTGCAAGTAGTACTCTCAGTGCATAATCTTGCTGTGTATGATGTCGAGCTGTCTATGATGAAGAGAGAGGAGAAAGCTTACTGACAGATGCTCTCATAGCAGTGGATGAACCTAGTTCCAAGAGGACCCCATAGAGCTCAAAGAATGCAACAACCAACTCTGCCCCAAGACCCTCGAATATCTCCATACATTTTCTCTTTCAATTTTTTAATTTTTATTTTCCTCACTACCCCATAATTTACAGGTCTGAGATCTGACCTCCCACCTCTCAAATGCTCTCACACTTAGGCCAACTTGCAGGTAGCACTCGGACATGACCCTGGTTGACCTATGTATGTCAGGCTTTATTACACATCTGAGGCACAGATTCAGTATTTATTGCATATCAGCCTTCTCTAAAGTAGTCAGTTGTTTGATTGTATTATTCTTATCTGCCATACTTCAGCTGCTGCATCTGCAGAACAAAAAGCTGCATCTGGCGACTTGTCTTTTTTTTTTCAAGTGTAAAATCTAGAGGTGCACCTCCAACTGACATCACTGAAGCGCATATTTCTCGAGGGTTGAGATATGAGATGTAGTCCCATCTGTGAGTCCAAATATACAGGACCTCAAACTCTTGGATGAAAAAAGTGAAGAGCATGCGTCAACCTCTCCCTCTCTCATTTTTGCCTATCTCTTCATCTTTCCTCATGTTCCTGCTCATCCATAGTGCCAGGGCCAGGGCCAGCACCTTCATCTTCATCTTCATCTTAATAGTTGTTGGAATTAACCACATCTTTCTCATCATCACGTCCACCTCCAGTGCACCCATCATTTCAAATCCACTTAATATCCTGGACTGGTCATCAGTTCTTGTTATCTAAGTCATCTTTTGACAATTCCACAACTGGCTGGTGCTTAGAGGTCGATGGAGCAGGTGAAGACAACCTTCTGGCCCACACCATAAACAATGTAGCACTCGAGCTCGCGCTAGGCCCGTATTCAGCCATTTCACGCATTGCGTTAAATGTCCATCACACTATTCACTTCCCGATGCAACCCAACACATATCTGCTGAACCCGACACTGTGACCAGTGGACCCAACACATTGGCTGCATCAGACCTGACATTTTTCCCATGCACTTGTCCTATCCGTGTCTTGTCTTATCAGCTCACCCCACTAGGTGCATAGTTGATTATTTCGCACATTACTTACGTCATCGCCAGCGCTATTACATGTTTTTCCCATAGTATGCAGCACCTTGTGTTTATTTACATGTACATCGGATCCGAAATTCTTCAGCCACTACTTTCGCCTATAGGGTTCCGTATTTCTATGTACTTATATATATATTGGTTTCCACATAGCACATTCATCATCCAAGTAATAGGGAGCCGTCTCCTGATGCTTTGTGGTCAAATCCGATATTCCATAGTTCTTAGTTGACATTGCGAATATTACTGCTCTTTTCATCCGAAACACCTGCTGTTATTGATAATCCACATACCGCTCGCTATACCCGATGTTCCCTTTTAAACCTGACGCAAATCCACACCCGAAACCCGCTAACCCGCAAAACCTGAAAATATCAGCCAACACTTTGGCATCGGACTCATAATTATACCTTCGGATTCCATTTCTCACATTCAGACTTTTGACAGTTTATCAATTAACTAAATACAGACTTATTCCAATAACTAACCCCTCGGGTTGAACACACTTGTCTAGCAAGTATAGCAGACTAGGCTGTCCAAGACCACTACAACATTTTTATATTGCTGACACTTACTTCGTATAGTATCAAGCATTGTTGTATCTTTACAATGAGTCAGTTGATTCCTGAATGAAGTGTCCAGTTTTTACTCTAGTAGTCTTCTTCCAAGGCCTCCTTGTCTGAGAAAATAATTAGAACATTATAATTATAAGCCCAATTCATATATGCTTACTGCACCTCCAATATCTCCTCTTGCACCACTTCCTTTGTCATGCCTTGCCTCATCATTGTCATTGTCTTCCTCCTCATCCTCATTTTCATCTATGATAAAATGTTCTCTGATTCTTCTTGTCTCTTCCTCCACTTCCTCAGAGCCATCATCTGAAATGACCTGGGGATCTGTCATAGTTTACGCCAGAATTGGACATCACATTATAGGTGTACAAGAGCCAGATGACTTTGTTAAATGTGAGGCTGTGCCAAAGATGAAGAATGGTGATATTAAGATCATCCCGTACAGCGACTTAAAGCAAGAAAGCTTACTAGATGCTGCCCATGGAGATCATCACACCTAGTCTTATATTGTGAGTACTTGAGTACTGTCTATTATGCTGATATAATCACAGGAGCCCTCTCCCAATGCTCAATGTGGCCCAATGCTCTGATGTTATCTTCTTAGATAGATGATCTATAGATAAACACCTATAAAAACAAATATCTCCACAGTCAGCAATTTAGACAAATACTAATGGCTGATAATGTGTTCGTTTGTGGATAAGATAGACCGCAGTCATACTTTGCTTGATCATGTGATCAAATCGTGACTTTTTCGTGACAAAAGTGCCAGAATTGCATCTTGACCTTCAAATTGCCTTTGTTCGCAACATTAAAACCACAGAAAGTTGGCTGGAGTACATCCCCAGAGGACCTAGGTTTTAGAATTAGAATATAGTTTAAATTGGGAGTAGAGATAGCTTTTTCGTACTCGGAACATAATGCATTGTGCTTTGTCAGCTACTCAATGATCCGCTTCAGCAACAACGGAACTACATTCTCTCTCCACTATGCCGAAACGAAAATTGTTCAATGTTGCAAACCTCGGAAGTTGGGCAAAGTCACTCAGACACTCAGGAAACAAAGAAAATGTAAGAAACCTTATAATTAAAGGCAGAAATACTGAGACAATGCCCACAGGAAGTCCCAATGACAATCAATGTGTCCGAGTCTCCTCCATCCAGTCCGAAGAAGAAAAAGACGAGAGTAGCAGTTACTGCAGTATTGGATCCTCCTCCCTTTGTGCTACCAATAATACAGCCATCTCCGAGTCCACTTTACGAGTCTGAGCTTGAGCATGCCAGGATAAATACTGTAACAGGGTTCTACAAGCCCTCACCCACTGTCAAGGAGGCACACTTAGCCTTCAATGATATCAAAAGAATTCTTAGACCACCGAAGAAGACTGCTAGCTACCAAAACCCTAAGCTAGACTCAGTCTTTCGTCGCCGACTCAAAGGGATGAAACAATTCTTGTGGGTCTATGTTGACCCACAGTCTTCGGCATATGGAAAGTGGACAATGGCATCATTACTTACTGCAAAAGCTCTAGAACGAAAGCCCGCACACTCACGAGTACTCCGTGAATGAGTACATGCCTTCATTGCAGATCGCGAGAACCTCCCATTTAATATCTACGGGACATGGAACGAGTCATTACTTGACAAAGGCGAGGATCTCACACAAGAAATACACATCCATCTGCAGGGAATTGGAAAGTATGTGAAGGCTATGGACCTCGTTGACTTCCTCGACACACCAGAAATGCGAAAACGGAGTGGACTCACGAAGCGAATTCATCTTGCAACTGCACAGCGATGGATGAAAAAGCTCGAGTACCGTTGGACAAAAGACCCAAAAGGTCAATTCGTCGACGGCCATGAAAGAGATGATGTTGTGGCTTACCAGCAGGAAACTTTCTTGCCTGCATGGGCAGCAATCAAGGAGAAGACTCGAGATTGGTCCTGTCACGAGAGAGATGGAGATTACCCTCGTCCATCACTACAGGAACAGAAGACAGTTGTATGGTGGCATGACGAGTCCACATTCTATGCAAATGATCGTCACAAAACACGATGGGTCCATAACAGCGAAACAGCTGTGCCCTATGCGAAGGGGGAGGGACCATCACAGATGGTTGCAGATCTTGTTTCTGCTGATTACGGGTGGCTGCGGTCACCTGATGGAAAAGAGGAGGCTCGTGTCTTCTTTAAAGCAGGAAAAAATCGTGAAGGGTACTTCACAAACCAGGACATCCTCGAACAAGCTCAAAAATCAATGGATATTCTAGAGAAATACTACATCAATGAAAACCACGTTCTCGTGTTTGACAACGCAACAACTCACCTAAAACGCGCAGATGGAGCTCTCTCAGCAAGAAATATGCCAAAGGGAACATCAAAGACAGAAACCAATTGGGGTGTGGAGGTTAACATTCGAGACGTGGCTGGCAAACAAGTTTATGGTGCAGACGGCAAGCTGTTGAAAGGAAAAATTCAAATGAGTGATGCAACCTTCACAGACAGATCAAAACAGTCACTCTATTTTGGTGAAGATGCTGGACCCAAAGCCGGTCTCTTCAAAGGCATGGCTGTGATCTTGCACGAGCGAGGCCTTATTCAGGAATCAAAGCTGCGGGCACAGTGCAAGGACTTCAAGTGCGCGAAGGGAGCAACAAATTGCTGTTGTCGTCAAGTGCTATACAATCAGCCAGATTTCATCGCCGTCGAATCAAATCTAGAAAGGATATGCAAAGCAAGAGGATTTTCAGTGTTATTCCTTCCGAAGTTCCACTGTGAACTTAACTTCATTGAACAGTGCTGGGGATATGCAAAACGAATCTATCGTCAATATCCCACATCATCAAAAGAAGCAGACCTTGAACAAAATATTCTCTCGGCTCTCGAATCAGTACCGCTGGACAGTATGCACCGGTGTGTTAATTGTTGCAATCTTACATTCAAATTTTCACACCACTCAGGTTTTCAACATGAGCCTGCCGGTTCATGGATGCATACCACAAAGGATTGAATGGGAAGCAAGCTGCGTGGGCTTCAAAGAAGTATAGAGGTCACCGAGTGCTGCCAGATAGTGTTTTGCGCGATCTTGACGGAGCTGATGCATAGTGTGATGGTCGATAGCAAAATGTAACATAGGTCACGGTCAGGTCACTGCAAAAGTCACACCGCGTGATCAAGCGAACTATGACTGCGGTCTATCTTAGCTGTTTATACTTTCCCAAGCTATGTTCAGACAAAAGTACTTCTGTGAGGTCAGCAACAAATGCAATTAATCCAACAGTATGGATGCAATAGAAAATGAACAGAATGTAATCACCCCAACAGTATGGCAGCAACTAGAGAAAAAGAGAAAAGTCAGCCCAACAATATGGTGCTGAGAAAAAAAGAAATAGAATGATAAGAGAAACTCTTCCTTCAGTAACAATTCTTTTTGTAATAAACTTACTACAGAAAGTCGTGCGAAGTTATAACAATCACCGCCTCAGCATAAACAGGTAGAATCAAAGGTCAGAACTAATCAATGTTCAGTAGAACTTTTAGCTCACTATTGAACCTGCTGTCAAGGAACTCACAATGAGTATTAAACAGAATCAGGAATAGATGTCCTTGGCTTTCAGTACCAAGTCCCCTATTCAATAACTAAAGTCTAGCAGACAAAGAAAACCCTGGCTCAGTATTGCTACTCAGATGAGTGAGGTCAAGTATCACTATCAACTCTTGAAGTCTTCCCACTAAGCCTTTGCTTAGATGGATGTAAAGATAACACGAAGATCCTGGCATGAATTCAGAACAATAACATGCAGACTTTAAATGAAGCGAAAAAAAAACAAAGAGAAAAAGAAAAGAAACAAAAACAGAAGACAAAAAGAAACTAGAGGTTCACCAGTAGAAAATCAAAGACAAAGTTTGCTCAATGTTGAGCACAGTAAGCTCAAGGTAACCTCAGTTGTTGATGATGAGCTAAGGGTATTGCTGGCTGTTGCACACAATGACCTCTCAGTTAGTTGCTTAACAACTCTTGTCACTGTTGTTGATACTGATCACACTTCACACTCAATTCTATCTTTTTAAAGTGGGGCTTCTTATTATTATGGGCAAAAATTAGGGTCTTATATAGACAAAATGTGGTGGCTGTGCTACTATTTCCCACATTCTTAAGAGGAATGGGCTTATTCAGAGTGTACCAGTAGCTATTTATATGAGTCATTTGTATCATGATTGTGTCATCAGTCTTTAGTCATCTTAAGATATGGTTTTGTCATGATTTGGTGTTAGGTCATGAGTCACCTGACTGTTAGGTTATATGGCTTAGTATCATGCGACCAAAGGTCATGTGACAAGCTGATTATGCCACGCAAAAGAAATATTCAAGATTTGTTGGTGTTTTGTTCTGGTGTTACATTATTGTTCATAGAAATGACGTGAGCCATGTATTCAGGGTTTTAAAGGAGTTTTCACAAAGTAAGTTATGCAAAAATTATTTTTCACAGTTGCCTGACATGCATAGGATTTATTCTGAGTCATTGTCGATGGTGACTAATCAAGATTCATCACAGAATTAAATGTACAAAAATATTCAGTCTATCTGAGTCCAGTGAAATGAAATATTGTCTCAGCTGCCTTCTGACTTTAGAGTAGAGAGAAATTGTTCCATAATGGTTTCTTGGGTATTAGGCTCATGAGAGAGCATTAGTCATTCATGCATCAAACCAATTTGGTGCATGTCAGCATTTAGACTCAGAACCTTTGAAGGTGGAGAACACTTTCGCTACTTGGTATTACCATCGTGTTTAACCTGGTATTACAAAGAACCTGGGTGACAATGTCCCAATCAGGATGCCTGATACTCCTGCTGAATTTTCATTGGCAGGGGGGCTGCAATCTCTTGAGTAACAATTATCTTCAAGGACTGCCTAGGCTTTGATCTTTTGCCTGACATCTTTATTGATAGTGATTTGCAGAGTGCTATGGCAGGTTTGCATAAGAATGTCTAGCAACTATGGTGAGGATGGGTGTGTACTTACCTTTATGTATGCCAAGATGAGCAGTGATTGCGTCTTTGGCTTTATCTTATACAAAACCTACAATAGCTCAGTAACATCACCTGCTGTTCGAATGTCCAACTTACTTTTTCCCTTGCAGCAGTAAAGTCCACTTTCGTCAGCTGCATCCACAAATCCTAGATACCGGCCTCTGCGCAGATGGTCTAGACATCAGCACCCAAGTTGAATCATTCTTGGCCATGATGAAATATTCCTGGTCAATATCTTGGCTCAGGCCCATACCTGACGACATCTAGGAGAAGATCAAAACAAATGTATATTATGGCAATGGATTTCTGATATAATAAAGTAGGAGAGTGGATTTTTAGCAATGTTCATTAAAGCAGAGGTACCCAGCATGGGTCTGAGTGTCACAATGGTATCTTTTTATAGACAATCAATATCATTTATAATGGGCTTGAGAAAGTGATTAAGATTCTTGAGACTTGGTTTCCTTAGTTTTGCTTCATTCTGAGACACATATAGTTTGAAGGTTATAAGAAATTAGTAAGATACTAGAAGTTATATAAGGAAGTAAGGGACTTAAGAACTTGAGATATGACATCATGTGATGGCCTTGCAAGTGTCATGTAATGCAAAGCTTGAAAGCATCAAAGTCCAAAAATATGTGTCCCAATAAATGCTACAAAATACATTAGACTTATCCTATTATTGGAGATAACACATAGAATATTGCTTGGCTATGGTGATAATAAGAGAATTAGTATGCAATGAATGTGTGAGGGCAATGTTAAACTGTCTGTTCTCTTATTTCTCTCCTTCCTGATCCAAACACTATATCTAGTCATTCATATTCTATTTTCCATCCCATATACTGTTAATCAATGTGCCTTTCTGCATTTAAAGCTGCAGATACAGAACTTATCCCTATCAAAGCTAGCAAATAGATACACATTCATTTAAAGTTGGCTGGAAAATCATTAAATATATATACTTATTATTCCAAAACATGAATTGAACATGCTAACATAAATAAAAATGATAAGAAGAAGGGATTTAATTATTATGGTTCTGTAGCACAGGAATGCACCATGAAGGAGTACTTCTACACTCTCCTTGAGATGTTAGAAAGGCTGGAGTATCATGTCAAGAATTTGGAGGCAGATTAGTGTAGGGATAAAAATGAGTATGAGGAGATGTACATCAGGCATCATGAAGAGATCGACAAATGTGAATGACACATAATGATGGACTGGAACAACACCAAGATCACATTGATAAATTAGAAGAAGAGGTGTAGTATAAGCAGGCAATGATTGACTTTCTCACTGATGATATTGAGTGATTAGAGGAGGATACAAATTGACAAAAGATAGACATTGATAGGTTGATTGAACAAAGTGTTGAAGATGGTACTGCATGGAGGAAGTCAGTTGCAGCACTCAAAGATACCATAATTGTGTTGTTTGATAATATTGACTTGGACTCCTGTACTTAGGCTATTATATTTAATGTTCACATATAACTGATTACTCCTTATTATTGTTTCATCTTACTGTCTGCCAATTTGCTTTATCACATACCAACCTAATAACAGATATTATTAAATGTTCCTAGCAAACACTGAGCTTTCTGGGCAGATTCCTTGACTGTCCAAGTGATATTTGTCTTTCCTGTCTCTCAGATCCAGTCTTTGCAACCCAGAGATACATGCTATGGTATATTTGAGATCTACATGACCATTAAGAAGCAGAATGTAGCAGATTATTATAAGCCACATTTCTTCATAGACAAAATCAACGCTATAGGTATCAAACGGTAAACAGTATGTTTCACTTTTCATTTATGAACACTGACACTATCTTTTAAGGTATGATTCAACATCAGGTGGTGAACATGAAATTCAGAGAACAATGTTTAAACTACTCAACCAGCTTGATGGCTTTAACACTTGTGACAACATCGAGGTTATCATGGCCACAAATAAGATTGAGATGCTAGATCCTGCACTTATCTGACCAGGTCGTATAGACTGACAGATTGAATTCCCACTGCCTGGTGTGAAGACCGTCTGGACATGCTAGCTTTGTGGGTGATGAAAGCAGACTTCACTGCTGCAAGGGAGCAGGTAAGTTGAATGTTCAAACTGTGGCTGATGTTGCTGAGCCATTGTGGGTTTTGTATGGGAAGAATGAAGGCACCCTTGAAGGTCTGTATCTGTAGCTTGTTCCTGTTGATTATTAATTCACATTTTCATGCACTATTACCTGATTGATTTATGTGCATTCTGCAAGGTGACTCTTATCTGCAAAACCCTCTGCTCGTGCCCACATTGTGACCTTACTATCTGGCCCCTCTATTCACAACTGGTGGGTTTGGAATTCATGACTTCAGAGATGCTACACTTATCGGTTACATGATAATCCACCAACAACCATGCACAAGTGAAAAGTAAAAGTGCGCCTCCTCTTTGTATTTTTCCCTCGCAATTATTGCAGTGGCTATCAGATATCAACACAAGTTCGTGCCCATCACAAGTTTGATCTATGGGCTGATGGCTTAAAACCTGCACAGGGAAATCGACCTGAATATCATCGATTTGTGGAGAGTATTGGACATACAATGAGGACATGTACTTGTGCATGATGTGACACCCAGTTTGAATGTATCATGTGTTCCACAGCAAAACCGACTAAATCATCCAAGACAACCGCAAGCTGTCCCTTTTAGTGCCATTGCAGAACTCATGCACATTGGCCACAAGTTTAGATCTACGATCATTTGAAGATATGAAGAAACTCTATAGCAGACAGCTTTTTCTCTCACTCGGCAGAGGAGGCTGAAGTGCACAAAGTAATAAAGCATACACAAGCTGGAGAGGTATCATTCAGGGGTTGCAGGAACACAGTTGGCACAGTGTATAGATCTGAGAAGGATGCCATCAGATTTTCACGATGGAGTTAGGCACATGACCTTGCTTACCAGGGATTGCAACTCAGCGCTACCACAGTGTGAGGATCTCTCATATAGTGACGAGCATCAAATACATGGCACCCAAAAGTACTCCCCTGAGCTCAACAGCACAGTGGTATGTGCCAGGTAGAATAACCTCCTCTGCCAGTGTTGGTCAATGAGTTTTATTATAATTGAGTCTTTCATTCATAATTTAAAGCTTACCCACTGTAATATGCCTCAATATTCTGACGGTAACAAGAAATATCAGCACCTTTCTAGATCACTGATACATGGCATGTGGCCAGGCAATCATGATAACTTACATGATGGTTTCAGTCAAGTCAGTATTATCAAATATGTCACTCACCACCAAGCATTGCAGGCATGACCACAGTAATCAAGCATAGTGTAAAGCACTTAATACAACCAGACAGGTACTAACAACTTTAGGGTGGGCTAAGGAGATCCATTCCAGAATAAATATCCTTATATGGATTAACCCTAACCCCAAAGCCAATATAATGTACATCAAAAGATCTCAACTGAACTTGAAACTCAGCAATTAGCATACTTGTGTGCAGAAGAACACACTTTTCAGTTCCTCTTCAGGGCCCAATGCCAAAACCATTATCTTTCCTACAATGACTTGCTAGCAGCACCCTCTCCCACTCTGCCACTCACATGACATATATTGATTTTTCTTAGTAAAGCTGTCCCCGTCGATTTGTTCCGCTTTCTGTTCGTCTGTACAGGTGAGTCTTCTAAAGGTTAGCTCGTATTGCTCATAATTGTGCTTATATGTCTTTCAGCTAACAACCTCATCATGATCCAAGCACTTCTCCTTGACCACATGGGGGTCCTTGAAGTCAGTGGTTATGTTTCTGAGAAGTGCAATATTGCTGACTACCTTGGACCACAGGCAAAGGCAACATCGGGGCTGAAGGATGCTGACTTTCTTGTTGAGCCCTTCTCTGTCAATGTGCTCATCAAGTATCACTGACAAGAAAGTGGTGTACGGAGTTTGAAGAAGCATGTTGACAATGTGGGACTTGCACCAGTGGTATCATTTGCATTGCTCATCGGGTGCTGTAGATATTCTGAAAGGCTGCATTGAAGCTCATCCTTGACCTTGGCGAACTCGTCTTCCATGAACCACACCTGCCCCATCTAGTCAGATGCTCAGCCCAAGCCCAAGATATGGATGCATTTTCCATGCAAGGTCTTTGCTGATGTGACTAACCTTGTTTAGTTAGGTTACATAATACAAGTGTGCCTACAGACAGCCGCATCGGCGCCCTCGCATCCTCGGGGGAGGTGCAGTCATAAGTCATGTTCCTCTCCTCCCACTGCTTCAAGTTCTTTACTCCATTTGCTGATAACCAAGTCAATCCAGCTTCATAGAACTAGCTGCGCAGTCCTTATAAGAGTACACCTCACACAAGCCATACTTTATGGAAGCAATGCTAATAATCCTCTACATTTCTCATTTACACCTGAGGTTGATGCTAGGGCGCTCATGACAGGTACACAGGGGTTAAGCAAGGCTGTCCTCAAGAGTGGTGCATGCATTTATTCTCGTGGCCACTCTAAAACTCACCTTGCAAAAAGATGGGCTCAGCTGGCTCATATGTTTCATCAACGACAACGCAGCACTGAGAAAGATGCTACAGACATGGAAAAGCTTTATACCTGTCATCAGCTTTGGTTAAAGATGAATGAGCATATAGAGTGCATGCCAAATCCAACCCTTCCTTTGTTTACCCCTCTAACTACATCCAAACAGTGCTGGGGCCTCTCATACCCACGTCACTGATGCCATTCACGCATTCACAGCCGCCCACCCTTCTTTTACATCCCTCCACTTTGCATGATGTCATCCAAGATTTCTTTATGTACAGAGTGGCAGAGATTGGGCGCCTTATTCCATTCATGGTCCAACAGGTTAAGAGAGCTGGAGAAGGAGCCATGAGAGCGGTTGGAGGGGCTATTGTCACGGTTATGAGCTATCTCTCTCATTTTTTGTGCCTGCTCGGAGTGGCTCTGAATGAATCACATGACTAGAAATAAAGCATCAACATCAAGTTTTCAGCTTGTGATGGTCAAGACACATCATGGAACAGTGGCCTTCAAGTGTCCACACAGAAGTTCAACATTGGCTTCTGGGAAGAAATAATCACCACATGGGGAAGCACATTGCTTAGGGCATGGATGACCTCTTATACAAAGCCTTGTGCATGACTGCACACACGATACAGAGGCATAATCATCACTATGAAACTAAAAGGAATGTTTATCTCATATGCCACACCAAATGGAAAAAAACATTACCTTGAATGGACACAAGTGACCGCAGTTCAAACAGAAGTCGCAGGGTCACATGCATCCTCCTGAAAACATGGTTTAATGCACTGCTTGAGTTTAAGGAGTGACCATACACACCATCAGGTGTGATTTGGGGTAGTTGACCTGGTTTTCAGACATACTTGAATGTCTCCGGGTGCCAATGACAAGTGATAGGAAGTGCCGGACCAAGGGCTCTCACCTTTAGAAAACCGATGTTTGGCCTGGCTCCATGCATGAATCCAAGCGAAGCCATTTTGTTGTCCAGTTTGCCGGAATTTTGAACCAATAACAAGATCACAATATAGGAGAAAACCTTCAGAAAAAGAAATAAGATTGATGTGCATGCTTACTCTGCCCTCTTCGCCTTGATAGTTGTCAATGGTGCGCAATCGAACCTAGAAGCTGATTGAGCACACAAAGAGACTGCCTTACAACAACAATGCATACCCTTCTCATAACTTGTACATGTTCAATCGTGATCCCACAACTCAAATCATTTTTATCATCTCCCTCTTGGTCAGCAAGAGCAGCTTGGTCGTGCTCATCAATCACAATCACTGCCTCATTAGCAAGGACATCTCACAGTTTGGCAAGCTGACCAAGGTAGGTACAAAGAACCATGATGTCACCTTCTTCAGGATAGCAGCCTTGCCTGGATAAAACTGATTAATCCTCAAACTATGAAGAATTTTGTGTGCTCAGACCTCAACAGATACAACACTAGTTCGCAAATCATTTGCACCTACAATAGATCAGCGAACAGCTAAATCATCAAGGCAATAAAAACCCTTGCCTCATATAGATTGTACTTGCTGGCAGAGTCTTCTCAACCCTCATTTTCCCTATGGCTGTGATTGATGAAGAACAGAGGGATAGTGGCAGACAAGCTCATGGTCTTCAAGATCAGGGTAGAGCGTATTCCTGATAGAAAATAAATATGGGCCTAATATAAGTATAAGAAGAGACACACATAATCAAACTCGAGATTGCTGGCCACATTCAGTATTGTACATCAATCTGAGACATCACAGGTCCAGAGCTTGAAAGACATTCCATCAGGGACATGTTAAACTTATAGAGATCTTGCCCTCTCAAGTGATCCATGGACAATGCTAGTTGGATGTCAGAAAGCATATATTAATTTCATTATGAAGTGCTCACAGAAATTTTCGAGTGTCGGGCAGAGTTGTAAAGGGTTACCAATCATAATAAGGTGCTCAATTGAGGGCACCAAATGTTACACACTCAAATAGATCTGTTAGGTAGAGCCCTAAGAAGGGCGTTGTCTGCTAATGTTCATGACATAACTGGAAGGGTCCGGTGTAGCGACTGAGACTAACGACGTCGAGTCGGCAGATATCAGAGACGCACATATCACGTGACTTCTAAGACGGATGTCTTCAAAGTCACTGATGTTCTCAAGGTAAGGACTGTCTTGTCCGAATGATGAGTAGTCAATCGAGGTAGGCTTAGGCGTGATGAGCACCTAAGAAAAGATACTAGAGACTGAAGCTGAGGGGGCTTCAGAGGGAAGTATGTTCAAGGGAAGATTGAGTAGATTCAAGTTAGGGAATCTAGTACAGGGTGACCGACTACTTATACTAAGTGGAAAGGGTTAAGGGCAAGGCTACCGTACTGTAGGTAAGGGTAAAGGGGAAACGGAAAGGGTATAGGTACAATGGCAGTATAGCCTAATTAGTGATGAGAGGTCGAATGCGGAATGAGACTGAGAAACGTTGGAACGAACCAACAGTAAGAGATACAATGCGCAGTATGCACGAGTCAGATAAGAGATAAAGGAAGATAAGGAAAGCCACATTGGTGGCACGAGTCAGAATGAGTCATAGCCCAAAGGCACGTGTGCACGTTGGTGCGATAGGGAGGGGACGAGGGACTGGGATGGTCCCGAGGATCCGATCAACGGATAGTCGGTGAAGGAGTATGAGCCGGAGGGAGGTGAGGACGAGGATGAAGGCAAAAATGATAGGGGGGCAAGTAGCCGATGTTACTTGTAACACCAAACTTCCAAGCACATGAGCCTCCAGAACCTGTCCAGCTTTCTCAACGAGCAAAACTTGAAAACTTGGACCCCATAAGAACTCAGATCAGATAGACACAACATTAATCTCATGGGGCAGTTTAACGCTAGTTGGTCAACCTCAGGCTGTGCTGGTAACACAAATGTCTCAAGGACTGATGGAAGCGCAAGGTGCAGGTGGTGGGACAGGAGATGTTTCTGGTCTTGAGTGTGAGGGCAAGGTTGTTAAGCATGGTGTCATGAATTGGATGCCCAGGTGGGCACAATATCAGTGCCTCACAAAGGAGGCTGATAGCTCAGGTGATGTCATCTACAGTGGCTCAAAAAAGTGTCTCAATGTTTGTAACTTTTCATGTAATTGCTTTATTATGAGCCAGGGTGTGGGAATATGACTAAACTGTAGGGAGGTGTCATAAAGCTATACTTCTTAGCCTCATTGAAGTTCCCTATAGCGTGGGAAGCTGATGTCATCATGTGCATATATGGCTATTTTAATTTGGTGACTTATTGAGACACTTTTTTGACTTTCAGTTTAATCAACACAATCTCTATAATTATGATACTTCATGTGGCCTCCTGTTGCTCTTATCACTTCTGCCACTCTTCTAGACATGCTATCTATCAATTTTGAGTATTTCTTCTTAGCACTTCTTTCTCACTCTGCTGCAACTCTGTCCTACAGCTGAAATAGCCCCTATGATGAATTTTGATAGGCTGCAAGCAATTTCTTGAATATTTTTCAGAGATATTCAATAGGGCTGATGTATAGGGACTATGCTAGACATGATAGAACATTGATATCATGGTCTTTGAGCTGCTAGTGACTAACTTAGACATATACTTAGGATCCTTGTTTTATTGCAACATAGTATCTTTCTCATTAATCTATGATTTCTGTATGCTTCTTAGCAGACTCTCATCTAAAATAGAGATGCACCCCTTGGTATTAGTCCTTTACTTCACTTCACACAGAGAATATACACTCTATTACATCTCATACAGTCCTATACCTCTATGTTTGTTACTCTACACTTGAACAAGGATCCTAAGTATATGTCTAAGTTAGTCACTAGCAGCTCAAAGACCATGATATCAATGTTCTATCATGTCTAGCATAGTCCCTATACATCAGCCCTATTGAATATCTCTGAAAAATATTCAAGAAATTGCTTGCAGCCTATCAAAATTCATCATAGGGGCTATTTCAGCTGTAGGACAGAGTTTCAGCAGAGTGAGAAAGAAGTGCTAAGAAGAAATACTCAAAATTGATAGATAGCATGTCTAGAAGAGTGGCAGAAGTGATTAGAGCAACAGGAGGCCACATGAAGTATCATAATTATAGAGATTGTGTTGATTAAACTGAAAGTCAAAAAAGTGTCTCAATAAGTCACCAAATTAAAATAGCCATATATGCACATGATGACATCAGCTTCCCACGCTATAGGGAACTTCAATGAGGCTAAGAAGTATAGCTTTATGACACCTCCCTACAGTTTAGTCATATTCCCACACCCTGGCTCATAATAAAGCAATTACATGAAAAGTTACAAACATTGAGACACTTTTTTGAGCCACTGTATGTCTACAGCACCACATTTGTTGAAATGGGCGACAAGGGCAAGCCCTAGGCCATCCAATGAGAAATTCCGAAATTTGTGCCCAAGAGGGCGCAGATGCAGCACTTTGTGCAAAGAGATGGCCTTATCGAGGTCATTAGGATTACCTTGGTGATTGAAGTGATAAAGACCAAGTGAAATAGCCAAGTTATTCAGGTAGACACCACAGTCAGGATGTCCCTTGGAGCACAGAGACACAACATCACGACAAAATTTTATACCTTCATCTAAATCAGCAATGTTGCCGTTTTGTCTAATCCATGATTCAAGAGTACTTGAAAGCCTGTTAAGTGCGCTTTGACGACCCACAGGACAGAGCTCGAGGATGACTCATTGAAGGCAGATGCCTTCATTGGATGCATCTGTTGTAAGATTGTTGCATTTGTCAATTGCATAATTGACACCATCTTCCCCTGCTGCAATGCTATGAAGGTAGGTACCCTCTAGACAGAGAGGCAGTAGCTCATAATAGAGTTGGGCTCCTTCACGGATGTTGGCAGCAGTAATTTTTTTGTTGTGGCGCCAAGTCAGTGCCTCAGTGAGATCATATAGAGATAAGGGACGATCAGGATGGTGTTTGTATCACATAACGTCCTTGCGCCTTCATGAGAGATGAGCAGTGCTTTCTTCAAAGTAGTGCCATGCATGGAGATGGAGGCGGAGAGGTGAACAGAGCAAGGGAGGGAGTTATAGAGATGCAGAAAGGTAACCTTGTACTCTGTGCGAATTTGTTACAGCACAATGGCTTAAACTTTGGCCCTCCAGGGATTGCCAAGTTGACAGCTTCTGCAGCGAAGAAAGACTTCTTGTCAAAAGGTAGCTTGCATTTGAAAGGTGGGAAGGGCATACATCTAAAATGCTTGTGGCCACACTTCTCTCGATGCATGGCTAGCCTTGTGGAACTCCATTGCACATGATAGACAGGCTTGATAATGCAGGGGATCTCATTGAAGAAAATGATTGTGTCAGTGATATGATAAAGGACAGTACTACCATACCTTGCAAAGGTATTGAATATTTTCAAAGTGCGAGCATAAACTCCTTGATCTACAAATGGAAGATCAGGTCTCGAATTGCTTCTGAAAGTACTCAATAGACTTACAGGGTCATGGTATAGCCTCACACTGCAAATTCTTCAGGTGATCAAACTTCAATGGCTGATTTCCAGCACCTTCTCAAGTCGATGTTAATAGATATGTAGATGCCTGTGGGTATGCTTTTTTTAAAAGGAATATTGAGATTTTGTTCACTGATAACTGTAGATAGTGTGAGGATTTATAACAAAATGAATATGGATAATGAAACCCACCTTCAAGTTCATCATCATGGGGCCACTGGCAGTTTAGAATCCATATCCACTAGTTTACCCCTGGTGGAGCTGCTGCTGTCATAAGAACTGAGCTTGCCAGGGAACCGAGATACCATTTTATAATAACTGTCAAACACTCTGAGCCTCAAGTGTTCACCTGCCCCACTTGACTCATGTTGAGCAACATCAATGCATCCCAAGGCAAGTCATTCTGTTAACTACTACTACCCAATTACTGCTTAAATTCATTGATATCATTGGTCATTCAGAGAGCAAAAATAGAAATTTTTGTGCTAGTTAATACCCTGTCAGAGTTGCTGAACACTCAGGCTCTCACCACACCAGCAGGACACTCATTTGTTGCAAACATTGCCCAGCAGCTGGAGCTGGAAAGGTAGCACACTGAACTGGAAAGGCAGCTTCAATTAGCCTCCTGCAAACTTGAAGAGGAGTGGCAGCACAGGCGTCAGCTGGAGGAAATGGTCCAATGGCAAGGAGAACAGCTGAAACAACATCAGGAACTTCATTTTTTACTGATAAGACTGAGAATAGCTGAGTGCGGTGGTTCAGTGAATTTCACAACTTATCTGTCATTCACATGCGCTAACATTTTGCTTTGATGGAGTTGGACAGGTCAATGCCAGTGATTGTGAAATAAACTACATAGCTAGTAGTCATACTAAGTACTGTCTTTACACCTACGATATATGTACACAAGCTTCATGGAAGTAAAGTCAGTAACTAGGAAGCAAATGCATGACAGAAAACCAAAGCTTTGGAGAGTACTTGGTCAGGTCAAAGCTACACAGCTGAGGGTATGACTCATACTGTATAGCTTACATGACAGACAGTCTGCTTGAGTTGTCTTACACACCATGAATCTTAACCCAACAAGTCCCAAATAAAATATGAATGTGACGCTGGAGAATGGGTCCAATTCCCCAGGCCTGAGTAAGGCAGATTAACCACATCAGAAGTCCCACAAACATTGACATGCGGTGTAGAAACAACAATACAGCGAGGTGCGAATGAGGCTCCTGACTGTATCTATAAATGTTGTAAGGTCATGCATTGCCTAGTCTGCTATACTTGAGACAACAAGTGCATTCAACCCTAAAGGGGAAGCAAGTGCAGCAAGGATCTAGAGGTATGCGCTGAAAGTGCTACTGGTTGGCCAATGCAAAGCCCGAGAAAGCGCAGGTGAGCGCATGTATTGCACGAAGCGTGGGAAAATGCACATGTGTATGCAGAAACAAGAGAGAGTAAGAATAAGCTTGCTTAAGTGATAATGAGATACTAGATAAGAGATGTGAGTGCGAGGTGAATATCAGAGAATAGATTTCTACTGCAACTTTCTAGGTAGTAAGTGGGTAGTTCCCAAGTCCAAAAAGATGAGAAGTCAAGTAAGGTGTCTAATGGTATGTACTGCTGGCGCTTAAGTATGGCACCTAAGTGCTACTGAGTAAGGTATGTAAAGATATATATAAGTAAGGGTCCATGATAAAAATAAAGGTGGAATGATATGCAGATAAGGGAAATGGAATTATATGCACTAGAGAACTTGGTAGACAGTGGATGGATGCATCTGGATGGCTGGTGCTATAGGGCGCTCAAGCATGGGAAAGTGTACATGCATATACATTGTGAAGCACGGGAAGTGTGCGCGCATGGCACACATTGCGTGGGAAAGCTGCGCCTCATATAGGGATAGCTGTGGATAGCACACAGAGTGACACTACAAGTTCGTGTCATGTACTCCCTAGGGAAAAGTGCCATATCAGACCATGAGAGGCATGAGTCTCTACAGCAGGCTGGAGAAGGATGTGTGATAGGCGGTGTTCATCTGCCTATAACTAGGTTAGGTGTGTGGATGTGACTTGTGCATGAAGGTCTGATAGATAGTTACTCTGAAACATTCAGCATCAGAGCATTTTCTACTGATTTTCATTGGAACTACTATCCACAGTGCAAAGGACTGATGTATCAAGTGAACTCACAGCTGTTTCAGTCATTATTTTAGACTGATGACCTGGATTCATCCACCCATAAATATGAATACAGAGTGTCAAACAGGAATGGAAAGTATCCATTCAAGTTGCAGAACTTGTGCAGAATACCTAATTTATCTGTTCATGAAATCGAGGGGAAGATATGCTAATACAGTCGGTCAGAATAAGAAAACTCAGCTTATGTGAAACACACTTAACATATTAAGTTGCTGGTAATGAGACATAATTAACTGGCACAGTGCCAACTTGGGAGTCTTGCAGACAAATATAGAGTATAACATTTAGATGCAGCTCACTTGCAATTTCTGAAGGCAGTGCTACCCCTCCTGCTGTTCCAAAGTAATTTTACTCACTTAAACTAGTTCAAATTATGAAAGGATTGTGAAAGAGATAGCTGATGTAGTAAAGTTGTCAACACACCTCTTTTCCGGATGTCAATGCTGGTGATGACTATTGCAGTACCAAAAATTTCCTCAATAAGTGCTAACTTATTCACCCCAGTCATATAACACAGTAATAGTAGCTGCAACTATGGAACAACAGTCAAAATAGAGTGAGATGTCACCAACAAGATAGGCTGACTTCTCGCTACAAAAGCTGACAACACAAATGGAATCAATTAGCAGCGACCAACTAGGGCCATTTGAGATCTGGGTCATGCTTGATGGATTGGCGTCAGTGAGTGAGTGGTAGAATTGATGAACAATAATACTTGTGCTGCTAGTAGGTATACCACCACCTGACAGTTCTATCATTGAAATACCATGTGAAGCGGTATCAATGAAATTTATGTTGGCAACACTGAAATTTCAGATGGCACAATGACTTGAGCAAATTGTGTGCCTACCAAAGTTAGATGTCATTTTGCAGCAAAGCTGCACACTGCATCCATCATAAGTTATTGATACAAACTCTATGTTTTCGTACCTGAGCCCGCAAGGTAACCAAATTGGGATGTAAATTTCAGATGAATGAAAGCTACAGGCCCACAGCAAAAGAGGATATATTTCAAAAAGCGGTGCTCTGACTTTTCGGTAGAAAGATCAGCTGCTCAGCATGCTAATAATTACAGTGGTGCATCAATCTGACATACGCAGACCAGCAGGAAGTAGATCCAAGTTGTTGTTTGCATCAAATAAATACACATTCCTATGAGACACTACTAAAGAGAGCATCAATCAGCATAGAGGATGTGTTGAAAGCTATTCCAATTGTATTGTCAAACTTACTAATCCTCTAGTAGCCCCCGTTCACTCATACAGCATATGAGATGTTTGTTCATGACAGTGGTTCCACACACGAGACACACAGTGTTCTGAAGGTTTCACTGGACAGCAAGTGTCTGTTGAGGGATGGACGGTAGTTGGGCTGAGGAGTTTTACTGCAGAAGTTAACATAGAAATTATGGTGGGATGTGTTCTTTAGGAGCGAGGGATCCTGTGCAGATGAGATTGCTCCTTTGCATTTCACTGAAACTATATTTCCTGAACAATATATTTGATAAAGGATCAAATGTCTGACATTAATGAGGAAGGAAAAGAACACCACCTGCGATGTATTGAATGGATAGCTCTCCAAATTTCATAAAGATGATACACTTATGCCACCCCTTCTCACTTGCAAGTAAGCCTTTATTGTGTCATAATGATAATTTCTTGACCATCACAGAGTCCCTGACAGGACATTGGAAGACTAGTAGGTGGAAGCATCCTGAGCTTTGATGTGGCTACAAACAAGTGGATCTCATTCAAGGGAGACAAGAGTAGTATTGCCAGTGTAAGGATTGTGTTTCTATTGAATAGGGCATCAATGAATAAAATTGTTACAAATAAGCATTTTTGTGGGGGCCGAAAGAGTCATTTTCAAGCACAAGGTGACGAAGGCCACAACGGACAACAGTTACTAGTAATCTCAGTCAAAAGGTCTTGCCAAGTATCTGACAGACAACATTTAGACATGGTAACTCTGCTGCACACTCCATGCCATTGAGGTCCAGAATCTTGGCTACAAATCATCAAATATCAAATGATGCTCAACAAGACCTGAAACTCAGCTCTTACCCATATGGTGGACTGTGACAATAGTATCTCAAATGGCTCTGTCTCAGAATTGCAGTATGAGGCTGTTGAGAACATTGCTGCAGCTCTTGATTGTGACATCTGTTTTGTTAAACTTGTGCTTTCCAAGCCTTATCCTGATGCAAGAGACATTGAGTGTCAGGAGATAAAGTGGTGGATCAACTCACAGAAGCTCTTCATTTCAGAGTAATGGGTAATAGAATCAGCGCACTCCAGTGTTTGCTGCGCTATCTTACCATATATCACTATTGTGGATTGCATCTTGGGCCATATTTTCGAGGGCAGACCATGAGTATTATCATCGCAAGCTGCCAGATCGAGAATCATCTGTCATGAACAACCTCGTTAACCTATGAAGGCAAGGATATTGAAAGAAGCCTACCTTGGATGCACGAATGAAGATATTGCATAGAGATGGACCTATGTATGAAAGTTAGGCATATTTTGGTGCAAAACAGGGTGTCTCTGTCTACAGTTGGTACCAAGGTCAATCCAATCCAGATGAACCTCAGCTCTAATCCATCTGGAAAACAGAGAGTTAGGCAGTGCAAGTCATGTGAGCGAAGTTGAACTTACATCCAAGAATAAACCGAGGCTACTCTTGCAATCTATAGATGATGAATGTAATGGCACCACTAAAGTTTCCGATACCAATATAGAGGGCCATGCCAATGCCTCTCTTGTACTAGCCAGAAAGATTATTTCCAAGCCTTCAATACTACATGTTAGCCCTGATCATGGTGCGACTGATAATGACATACCAAGAAACCATGCCAGGAAGCACTGCATAGCTTCTCATGACAATACAGAAAATCCCAAAGTACTTGATACCACTGGGTGCAGTGGATATATTAATCAAAAAGCCAATGAGACACATAGTAAGGCTGGCAAAAATGAAAGGGGATCACACCTTTAACTTGTCTGAGTAGTGCACAAAAACGAGCAATGTGAGAGCTAAATGGAACAGATTACTGTATGAGATTGCAGATCCAGGTAGAATACTGACTTGCAGCAACATAGGGTGGTATAATGATCAGCTGGCTGACTGGCATGTTATATCTAAAGCTAAATACAAAATGGATCACAATATTCCGCTTGTGACAACAAACATGTTGATGATCGTTCTGGCACAAATAATGTTAATCATCATCTCAAAGACCTAGTGATTGACTCATGGGAGAAACAGGGTGATGCTGTACACTGAGAGTGCTTCAGATGATCCAGATGCAACAATACCGGTGTCCGGAGGTCATTCTAGGCACCAAGTGGGGAACTAGTGTAGATTGTTGGAGTGTTGTGTGTGGTATGTTCACCAACAATGGCTCAGAGCGTGTTGCTCAAATATCATAGATATTCAAACTCATAACCAGAGTCATTGATCCCACACCAGGCCCCCGGAACAGCAAAGATGATGACCACATCACCCAGATCATAGAGCTTCTGAAAGAATTCCTGAGGTCAGTCATGAACACTGATGTGTCAAGCGGGGGTAAAGATGAGTGGGGCTGATAGAGGTGTTGCCAGAGATTGTAGATACCATATATTCACAGTGTGTGGGATCATTCAGATTACAATTTAGGTATCTAGAAATTGTTATGCAAGGCTTGTCAGCTGTTGTAAACTGTACGGGATATGGAAGCAAGAACACTCTCTGAGTCTGAAATAGCCTTCTCTGTTGAAGAGTGTGCTGCAATATCTGTGTGAGTCCTGATGTGGTTACGATGAATAAGCAACCAGAGGGTGTGATGATCCTGCCTAATGGCCTTCCAATATTCTGATGGGTGGTCAGAATCCTGAAGCATCCTCTCCAATTCAGTCATTATTGCAGTTCTGATGGCAAAATCATCTCCTCCAGTTGATGTGGCCTTTCCACTCTTTCCAGTCCTTGTGTCCGCACATGACAGCCAGCTGATGGTGACCCATATCAAGGAGTACCCATCGATGGATCTTATAGATTGTGACTTTATCCTGTAATGTCCATACATGAGTGTGAAAGTAACAACAACAAAAGACAAACACCCAAAACAGCTCTGGTAGTTCTAATTGCAATCATCCCCTTCTCCTTAGCTTTGGCAACAGTCAAACCACCTGGTATATAGATTTATGTAAACTTTGTCTCTGCATAGAGCACCACTGATTTGCGATCTGATGGTATCGTCAGTCAAGATGGTCAGAATTTGCCTGGGCCAGTAAGAACACAAATTCTGTACATATCTTCTGTGGAGAAAAGTTTGCTGATGCCTTACTAAGCATTTGAATTTTGGGTTGCCTACTAAATTATGTCAGTGCTACTTCTTAATAAAAGAATAAGACAGAAAGCAATTAAGCTGGCCACAAAACTCGACTGAAACCAATTAGTCTTGTGTCATAGAATAATGCACATAGTAAGTGTGCAAAGTTGATGTTACACCATATACAGGCCCAGAAGAAAAAAAGTAGGATAGGTATATACACACAATAAAATGATATGGTACAAATCATTATTCAACTTTTGATATAAATGCACAGTATTAGGCAGGGTGGGTGGCAGTGGTGGCGTGATTCAGCAGAGTTGACGACATGATTCTTAAGTGAGAATGTTGTGAATTGCGTGTGGTCATGATGCGATGAGATGCTGGTAAACAATCAATAAAGTAATGGGTATGCATCGTGAATGTGGAGGTATGGCCATTGTCGATACTTGACCATGCAAATACAGGCTATAATTAAATGCTCGAGAAATAGACAAGACCAATGTAGAGAATCATGCCTCTCATGGTGTGATATGGCACTTTACACTAGGAGTACATAGCACAAACTTGCAGCATCACTCTGTGTGCTATCCACAGGTATTCCACTATGAGGTGCAGCTTTCCCGTGCAACACGCGCCATGCGCGCACCATTCCCACGCTTCACGATGTATACGTGCGCGCGCGTTCCCGCGCTTGAGCGCCCTATAGTGCCAGCCATCCAGAAGCACCCATCCACTGTCCACCAAGCCCTCTAGTGCATATATTTCTATTTCTCTCATTTGCATATTGTTCCGTCTTTATTTTTATCATGGATTCTCACACATATATATCTTTACATACCTACTCGGTAGCGCTTCGGCTCCGCATTACAGCACTTAGACGCACTATATAAGCGCCAGCAGTACATAGTACTACTTACTTTTCCTACCACTTACTTTACCTCCCAATTACCTGTTACTACTTACTTACTACTTAGCAGAACAAAGTAGAACTCTATTCCTTTACATCTCGCACTGACATCTCTTGCATCATATTATCACTTAAGTCTAGTCTCTCTATCATTTCCACACGCGCATGTGCTTTCCCGCGCTTCGCGCTAATACGCGCGCATGTTCCTGCGCCTCGCTTCAGCGCATACCTCTAGATTTTTGCTGCACTCGCTTCCCCTTTAGGGTCAAATGCACTTGTCTCCTCAAGTAACGCAGACTAGGCAACGCACGACCTTACAACATTTTTAGATACAGTCAGGAGCTCATTTGTTCCTCACAGTGTTGTTGTTTCTACACCAAGGAGATGGTGGTTTGTGCATGTCATTTAGAATCGTCCCACAAAAGTCATGTTCTTGCCAGGGAACAGGAAGAGGCGCTTCAAGGGTTGAACCCTTTTAACCTCAACTTCGACCTCCTCAACCTCACTATCAACCATGTGATGCTTGATGTGTTTCTCCTTCTTTGCAGCAGGCATCATCACAGGGTAAGTCTTGATATTATTGTATGACCATGTGCAATTGAGTGGGTAAATGCCATTGCATTTTGCCAAGTCTTGGAGACGACACACATCCAAACAATAAAGAGGGATTGGACCCTGATCAATGATGGTATGGTGCTTGACAGGTGTGACGAGTTGTTGAAAGAGATACTTATTGAGTTGTGGGAGTGAAAGGTGACCTAGTTGTTGACAAGACTCATGAGATGATGATATTGGTGATGGCATGGGGACAGGTGTGCTAAGCCACACCAGTAGTCACTTGAGTCTAAGTCTGTTGAGACTCAATCCTTGACTAAATAATGAGGACTTCAGCGAGCAGCCTCCCATCACCAACATTTAACGAGGTTGCTTCACTCTATCAACCAGCTCACTTACCCTGCCCTAATATTTTTATAATGGGTAGCACATGTTTACTTGTTAGTGTCTGCGGGTGGCATAACATCTCCAGAGCCATGTTCCAGTCTGAGCGTTTGAGCAAAGGTTTGATAGCCTAACTCCCGAAAGCTCCCACATACTAGCTTGATGTGAAAAAAAACTCAGTACTTGATTCAATGTAACAATTTAAGTACACCATACATTAAGACAACGATGAGGTTCTGATGAAAGCTGCATTCCTACAATGGACCTACATCTGCACTTTAGGTAACTATGTATCTCAAATTTCCATTAGTACAACTCTCATCACCTCGGATTCCAACTTTAAAACTGCTATGTCACCTCTCACATCCTGTAAGAGAATCCGAGTACAACTGTTGCTATCCATACTATCTTGGGCCAATTTGTAGGTGGCATTCAATGAGGCCCCATGCACCAAATTTTTCACAGTAACATCCGAGACTTCAGATGTTAGGGTACCCATCCTGGCCTCTATGCTCCTGAGAGTGTCATTCTGATAATGATAACTATCTTTGTAAGGTCAACATCATGAGATCAGTCAGTTCAACAATGCAGCACGTACTTGCATCAATAGCAACCATTGTAGTGAATTCACTGAGGGAGGTGCTGTGGCCTGTGGAGTAGGGTAAGCTGAACACAAAACTGCCCATGGGTGCTGTTACCATGGGCATGAGTAAAACTGGTACAGATAGTGCCAAGCCTTAAATAGATATGAACAAGATGTAACATTAGATACGGCCATGGTGACTGGTGTATTATTTGGTGAAACTAATTGAACATGTACTAGTGAGACTCAAAATAACTTCCAAAAACTTTTGGAAACTCATGTAGAGCATGGCTAAACCTTCCAACACCACCTAAAGGCATCGAGAAACTTGGCTAGAACAGTGTCCAACAGCTGCAGCATAGGCGGCATAACATATGCATATGAGCAGACTTCAAAGCACTTAGGAGATTTCAATGCACTAAGGATAAAACAAATATATTCATAGCTAGTTAATGCACTGACATGTAATTGAATAATGATGGAGGGAGAGAGGGAATCAAAGCTTTCTGTCTGCTCAGCATGCCGTCTACTCAGCATGCCCTGGCTCCCTACTATCCTCCCTCGAACATCCCTTAATCCTGGTGCACTCAAGTGCTGGCTCTAAGCTATGCGGGATGATGCACATATTGGCGCTTGAAGCCATGGCTTGGGCCCAACCAGGCTGTGAGGAGAAGTGCAAATGTATTGGGGACTGGCGTGACCGAGCACTGTTAGGATGCATAACAAAATGTGTGCAACTGTGAATGAATGGCTGTAAATGAGTGTAAACAGGTAGATATGAGTGAGAATGACTGGATATGAGCAGATATAAATGTGAAATGAACAGATAAGAGACCACATGTGTGCGAGAGTGACTGCAAACCCAGAGTGGCTGCATTAAAACAACAGAGATGCATTGGCTGCATGTAGCAGGGGATCGGAGCTTTGGTGGATGTTACTGACAGTCTGGTGGAGGTCAATAAAGGCTTGGCAGATGTTAGGCTACAATGGTCTCAGAGGTGGAGGTCAACAAATCAGCACACTGATGGTGGTGAAATTCAAACTCCAATTCAAATTCTGACAAATCAGTTGGAGATTGGATGAGCTGATAAGAGATCACACTGTGAATTCTCCAGCACCATGCCTCATTAATCCACACATAAAGACATCTTGAATGCTGTTGATCAGGCTGCACTTGCATTAGCCAAGTTGGAGTATCAGGATATCCTCAACAACTGGTCAGACTTTGAGTCTGACACTGACTCTAACCTGGACTCACTTTCAACTTCAGATGATGATGATATCAGTCTGTCTTTTAGCCCCCATCCCCCATCTCCCCTATGACAGGGGTTTCAGATTCTTCCAGTGACGAATCCGATAATATTGCTGCACCCTATGACAGGCTCCAGGACATCATTGCTACTCGTCGTGATGAAGTCAAGAGGGCATGTGTACTCCATAAGCCCAATAAGCACCTCAGCTTCATATGCTGGTTCACCATGAGGAACACTGCCCTCACCTGTTCCGGCAAAAACTTCATGTCAACCCGGAGATCTTTGACAATATCCTCAATCATATCTCTGATCACCCTATCTTCCAGAACCAGTCCAACAATCCTCAGCTCCCCGTCTCCATCCAGCTTGCTATTATTCTGAATTGTGCAGGCCACTATGGCAATGTCATTACTCTCCAGGATGTTGCTCAATGAGCAGGCGTGAGTGTTGGGTCAGTGGTCAATTGCACTAATTGTGTGATGGTTGCAGTACTTAATGCCTATGATCAGTTCATCTGCTTTCTAGCAGGTGACTCTGAGGATAGTGACCTGGCTCGGAAATTCGCTGAGTCACATACTTGTCCAGAGTGGAGAGGTGGCTGTCTAGCCATTGATGGCTCAACCATGGATCTGCTCACTAAACTTGGTTATTATGGTAAGACATTTTATGATAGGAAGTCCAAGTATTCCCTTGGCTGTCGGGTATTTTTTGTCCATCTTCATGTACAAAATTTAATTTAATTTTAGGGCAGTCATCTTGCCCCACAACCTCCTGATTGTCGACTACTCTCTTGGTCACCCTGGGAGTGTCCACAATGCATTTGCTTTTCGGTCTACTTGTCTCTATGAAGAGCATGGTGATCTTCTGCCTAATGGTCATTGGGTTTGGGTAGACAGTGCCTATCCATTGGAACCATGGTGTATTGCCCCTTTCAAGAAGCCTCACAATGGATGGCTAACAAAGAACCAGAAGACATTTAATTATCACCTCTCTAAGGTATATATATATTTTTTGGTAATTTTCAATTGATTTACATTGATTTAGATTCATGTTCGTGTTGAACACACATTTGCTGTTTTGAAGGGAGAGTTTCAGTCCCTTTGAGAGCTCCATTTCAGGATTCAGTCGGAGAAAGACCTTGATTTTGCTGTGCAGTGGATCAAGTGTTATATCATCCTGCACAACATGATCATCTGCTTTGAAATTGATTGTCACAAACAGGATAGAACATATGAGAGTTCTCTAAAGTGGGCCCATAGAGAGGGTGAAGATTACATTGCTCAAGAGTTTGAGGCTCCAGATGGTGATGAGGTAGTTGGTGACAGGACATATGAGGGCACTCCAGGTCAGGCTACTTGTGCAAAGCTGATGGATGAGCTCTTTGACAGTCCTCAATCTAATGCACAATGTAAAGCAGGATGAGGATCATATTGAGATGTACTACTTGACATGTGCTACTATCAAATGTACAACATATATATGTACCTATGTAACACCAACTTGAATCAGAGCAGTACCAATGAAGGCAGGAATGAGAACAGTGTAGGAGAAAAACATACATGCAACAACAAAAAATGAAACATATGATGGTAGTACAAATAAAATGATAGCGACAACACACAACAGCAACAACAAATGAAGTGCAACAATGACAATGATGACAAACGAATCACATGGCTCCATCCAATGCTGGGGTCCTGTTGCCCTGCATCATCTGGTGAAACTGTATCTTGAGCCAGAGGGTCTTGGCCTCCTTGTCGAGCACCAATGAATGCGCTTGATGCACTTGAATATCCGTCTCGCGAAGGTGAATCTTGACATCTTGTTGCTCCTGCAGATTTTGATGGGAGACAGTGGCTTGGGAGGCCTCATGCTTGCGAGCACTGCGAAGCCATTCATATTTCTTCGAGTCATAATGGTGTCCACTCTTCGCATTGAGCTTTGCAAGGAAGCATTGATGCTTGCTATCATGGCATGACATTGCATCGGAATGCATGCTCTCAATCTCGTCCTGAACGTGGCCTACCTCCTGCAGAACATCTGACTTGGCTTTCTTCTTCTTTGAGCCCCCTGTGCTGTTCAGCAGGGAGGTCTGCAGGGTGGGCGACATATGGTAGTCCGATGAGGGGGTAGTGTTGCGAGTCGTCAATGAGGGTGTCAATATACTGTGGGACATCTCTGATGACAGTTTGCATTGCCCCACATGGCTGGATGGCTTCTGTGCGCCAAATGCCAAGTGGCTATTGTAAAATGATGTCAGTGACTTCACGGGAACTTGGAATAGGGAGGGAACATTGGGAGGAGGGGATGGAGATGTTGGGAGCTGGCATTTCTTCCCTGTAGCTCGGGGAGGGCTCTCTCAAGCATTTCCATCATAGTCCATCATCTCATCACTGTTGAGATGTTCTAGTGCATCTCTGAGGGACATGGAAAATAGGCCCATGCCCTCTGAATACAAGTCATTGTTGTCATCAGCAGCTCCAAAATCATTGCGGATATTGACATCGGGGGAATTATAGAGTCTAGGAAGGTGAAAGAGAGGACAAGGGGGGGGTACCAGTGTTTGGGGAGGGGAATGCATTGAGGGGCAGATAATTGATGGGGGGTGGATAATTGTTGGGGGATGGATGTGTTAGAGGGTAGATATGATGCACTGGGAGGCAGGTCAGGCATTCTGGGAAGCCTCTGAGAAATGTTCACATTCAACTGCTCGTTGATGGGAGGTCAGTAGAATGTTCACGTTCAACTGCATGTTGACGGATGAGGTCAGTGGAACATTTGCATTTGACTGCTCATTGATGGATGAGGTCAGTGAAATGTTCACATTTGACTGCTCATTGACAAATGAGGTCAGTGGAGGATATGCAGAAGGGGGCAGATTGGGGGGCATATATGCATGGGAGGACTGAGCAGCCGGTATGGAGGGACCAGCCCCAGCCAGCCCTGCCATGTGGCTGGATAAGCGAATACAGTGCACCAGTGTGATCAACACCTGGCTGAGACAAGTAAGTCTTCGCCACCATAGAGGGGTTGTTGTGCCAGATGGAATCAAGATCTGAGAACCAAGGAAAGTCCACATGAACAAGTGCTACAAAAATCAATCAGCCACAGACCAAAGACAAGGCATGAGGGACTCACCTAAGAGATTTTGCAGACTGTCCATTGTGTGGCATAACACCAGCACCCATGGCCATGAACCTGCCCTTGTGCTTTTTGTATTTTGTCCTGAGTCTTGATGTGTTTAATCAACATATGCGAGCACAAAAAAAATAAGAGAGGACTTACCCTGAGATCTGATTGGAGACTGAATTGCAGAATTTCTTCAGATTTTGATAGTATGTGGCGCCATTGTCATATCACGTATTCCGGACCTACGTCCAACAATATTCCCACACCTCATCCGGACCTTCGGACACCTTATCCATGTCTCCAGTCCTCTACTCATCCAGATCCCTGCACCTCTGCACATCCAGATCCAAATCCCTTTATCTCTGTACATCAGACCTCCATACCTCCACAGCTAGCCTGCTTCATTCATCCTTTGTCCTATCACCCTAATGACATATCCCATACATCCATGCATCTCATCTGGATCATATCTGATCTGATCTGATCCAATATACAATAAACTACTTAATCCATTTCCTGTACATATAACATTAACACAGCCTATCCGGTATTTCCTTGTTCCAGGTATCTCAGTTATACTTACTACTGGTATGCTTACTGATCCATTAACCTATGCTTCATTTCTGACTCATGTTTGATAACTTTGCTTATGCTTCATACATAGCCTCAGACCTTTGCTTATTGATCTTTCTGATAGTCACTTAGTATATAAACTCTTGTATATGTCCTGTAGTTCCTCAGTCTGAATATCATATTAGTTCTCACACTAGATCTCACTCTAAGTCCTCATATCAGTTCTAGTCTTCCAACTTAGTTGTTATCCATCTCAGGCCTAGGGAGTTTCTCCCTAGGCCAGAGCTCTGCTTATCTGATACTCCACTCATCCACTCATCCGATCCTCTGAAGTTTCCGGAAGTCCATCTGGATCTTTCCCGTGGTCCTCTGGACCTATTCTGCTTCGGATGTTGTCCTTGCAGCCTTTCCTCTATTTGCTTCTACTTGGGACAAGTCCCAAGTAGCCATTATACATATCTGTATCAGAATAAAACCTCATTTTAATTTCTGGAAGTTCCTCTGGAACTTTCCCACACTCATCCGGAAGTTACTTGCACCCATCTGGAAAGTCCTTCTGAAGTTTCCTGCGCCTTCGGACGTCCTTCAGACGTCCCTGGACTTTCTTCAGACACCAATCTGAAATTAAGGGCACATACTCAGGTAAGGGGTGCAGCGCACGAGCCAACAGTCCTGCTGAGTGGCAAGGACAAAGTTGGGTCTAGCTAATGCCTAGCTGCTATGTCTAAACAGACATGTTCGACCCTAAAGGGATTTACTACTAAAAAGATGATAGATATGTGCGACCCGAGAGCGCGCTAAGCATGGGAAAATAGCGGACAAGGTATGTGTGAGGTATAGGAATGTATCCAAGGCATGGGAGCGTGCGGCCGAAGGTGCAGAAAGTACGGGAAAGCGCAGACAAGGTATAGGGAGGTTAAGGAACGAGGTTTCAAGGGAGTGAGGGCAAAGGTATATTGCAAGGTAAGGGATCCTAGGTATAGAGAGGTATAAGGAACCTAATAGGGGCTAAAAAGCACGCACTACTAGGGACTACTTCGAAGGTAAACCTATAGGTGAGGTATACAGTATGAGGGAAGTGTACAGTCCGAGAGAAGTGCAGTAAAGTAGTCCAAAGTATAGGTAACTTATAGTGTCTAAAATCCCACTCGGAGTAGGAAGGGATAGGAAATATAGTAAATATATAAGGACATGTAATAAGGCTGCAACACATTTTACAAGCCTCGAGGTAAGAGAATTCACATACCAATGGGGTTTGGATGGACTATGGATGGACGAGGGACTTTCCTAATGCATTTCCAAGGGATCCGAAGCATGGGAATGCGCATCCAATGTGGCTGATGCGTGGGAAAGTGCGGATAAGCGGATGCACAAAGTGCGGGAAAGCAGGTTCGGTTTAGGACAAGGGTTACTTGCAGGACAAAAGGTGGACAATGATAATGAAACTAGTAGTGTCCTATACTCCTTGACACGTATGACAATACCCTGTTTGCTGCCCAGTGCGGGTCCGAGCATCACACCAAATAAAATAGGATTCTGCAATCAGAGGGGTGAGTGGTTAGATAGTTCACCAGGGCGTCAGTGAGGGTAGTTTTGCCCTGCCATTGAATTGACATCTTGGGCCCTGATGCGACTGCAGGGCTGGTGATTTGTCCTTTGAAGGTGGATGCTCGAGGATCCATTGCTCTTGAGTGCACTTGAGCATTGGGTTGAAGTCATGCGTAATGATGAACACGTTGGCGAGTAGCAGGCATGTTTTAAAACTCTGCCATGCCATGCCAGACTGACTTTGAATCAAGGCTGAGTTGCTTGAGATGTTGGAAGGTTCTAGTGTGCTCTACGCCAGTTTCCAAAAGTTTTTGGAAGTTATTTTGAGTCCCACTACTAATTGACCACATACATATTACTTATATGACATGACAACAATCTATATTTGGCTCAAAGGCTGAATGCACTAATGTACTCAAATAAACGGAGATGAGTATCCTGAACGGCCATACATTGGCAATACCCCCTCCATGTTCTCCATATATGGCAGCAATGTCGACACAAGTATGACTATGCATCCTGACAGTGGTTAGGGAATTCATTAATGGTATTTTAAGCTTAAAAGCTATGACATGTCAGATAGTGGAACTACTGGCAGATGCTTGCTCATAGTATTCACCCCACACAAGGCCATTGAATTACATATACTGGTACTATAGAGTCACAACCATAGCCACTTTGCACCCTTGTGGGTGTGACCATGTCACCTTTAGCTTCATAGCCCCTTGTGACGTGTGATGCACCTAAATTAGCTTCGTCCCAACCGTGACTGATATGGGTTTGCAACCACCTTCTCTCTTCCTTTTGGTGCTGACATAGACCAAAAGATCCTCAGGTCATTGCCTTGGGCCATCTGACATGGGCATTTTCCCAATGGATATGAGAGACAGGCAGCTGCATCATATATGAGTTTAACCTTTCCTCAGCATATCCATCATTTTTGACCCATCAGAATGGATCTCATGTGTTATTGCTCAGTCTTTTATGTTGACTCATGCCTACAAGTAGCCAGCCTCAGTGTTCCTCAACCTTGCACATTCAATGCGACATTGACAAGTTATGACATCTCTTGAAATTCGCATGAATAATAAATCGACATCCCATACACATTCCCAACAGATTCTTTCATCCACAAAGTCAACAACTCACAACCCACAGCTGTCTTCTTCCTCCAGCCTCGTTGCTCCAGCACAGCTATACGTCTCTCAAGCAACCTCGTGGACTCACATGGATTTGGCCAACAAGGAAACTTCAGGGGCAGAGTAGGTCAAACTGGAAAATTTGAATAGTTTTAAAGTGAAGCATAGGGAAATTTCAATTGAACAGCTGCCACTCAGCCCACCACTCACTCCTGTATCTACCACTGACAGTATGAGCACACACATTCTAACACCGCCACTGGAAAATGAGGAACAAGACCTGGAGGAGGTAGACATTATTAACCATGAATGACATCCACTTGCACACACAAAGTCAGCAGCCAGGGTTGATAGCTTGTTTTTACACGACCATAATAGCCTCAGTATTGGTTCAGAGACAGATAAGAAACCTCAGAGTTGAATGAATCGCAAACCAACACATCTAAACTTTGAATTTAGGGAGCCTTCACCTCAGCCTTGGGATATCATTGATCCAGCCACTCATTTCCTCAGACAGGTCCCCCAAAAGTCATCTAGAATGAGATCAAGTGCCTTCAATCTATGCCACTATGGATCTGCATTTCTATCCATTCCCGAGCTTTCTCTGTGGACACATTGCTCAACCTTCCTATCAGTTTTGCACTCGATGATATTGACAAAGGATTGGCCCCTACATTTTTTTTCAAAGAACATGCTTTACCTGATTTGGAGCTTCCCAAGGACTTTTTATCGTGTCCTATCCCATCTCTCACACTCTTGTCAGAGCTTCAGCAACTGTTCAGACAAGCATGGTTCGATGGGTGCCATTCCATTATTCATACAGCATTCCCAACAACTCCACTATCATATTAGTACTCTATGGTGCAGGTCATGAATGCTCAGAGTACGTGGTGGGTTGTATGGGATTGGGTCAAAAAGAGACGAGAGTCTGCAGACGATGATGGTTTCATGGTTGTTATGGAGATGTTCTTTCTTCCACAGCTTCATATTCCAGGCTTTTGCATCTTGTCATGCAGGTCTATCATTTAACCTCTCATTTGATAGCCTGACAAGCTGTGAGGCCTTGCAATAACTTCAGGACATGCAGAAGAATGAGCTAGACCTCTGAATGAAGATTTCGACTCACCAATACAAACTTTAGGAGCAGCATGGTATTGCAGATGCAGATGAAGAGCCAGCATCCACTCATGATGCCAATGCTGATGCCTTGGATGGAAGTGATGTAGCAATCGAGGCCGTCTTACAGCATATTGCAGATGGCGGCAGCCAGGACCTGCCAGCAGGCTACAGTATTGATGATAACAGCTCACTTATCACACATAACGAGGTGGAGGTGTATGAGTCGGAAGTTGCAGGACATGCTCAGGTTGCCGAAGCTTTGAATATGGGCAAGGGAGGAGAGGAAAAAAAAAAAAGATCCCTAGTTTCGGGAGAGGACAGTGCAGGCACACCGCAAACACCTTGTATAATGATTTTTAGTTATACTAATTAGTTGTCTATAGCAAATGTTTGTCTTTTTTATGTTATTTTACTAAAATAGCTTTGTGACCCAAAATTTAGTGTGATTGTCACTTCAAATAGCTTTGATTCATTGGAGGGTGGGACGTGTGATGAAGTTATGGTTGTAACTCTATAGTACTAGGAGTACTATCTTAGCACCGGTAGTGTTGGCCTACCAGCCACCACCACAACAAATAAACAAACTCATCCACCACACATTGGAGTCAAACACTATGATTGATGAAGCTTTGCACATTTTGGTAAAATTACTTTGTGTGCTGCCATGATCTCATATCTCTACTTACCCTTTACTGTTGATTTCCCAATTCTCCAATCTCTAATCAACATAAATCATAGCAGTATCAATGCTGGTATGTCCAATGATAGCTTCTCATCCTGTACTTCATCCTGTGATTGACATCTATAACAGAAGAGAGTTCCGCTGGACCGCAGTACTCCTGCCTGGCTGATGGAGTTAGGGCAGTATGCTCAAAAAGTGAGACAGTGAGTATCTGTTACTTTGACATTGCATATCCAAGCTGACTTTTATCATATGTAGAGTGCCACTTCTAGGCCCAGACTTTACAGTATAGGGACTGCAATTTGACCTTCTTAAGTTGGTTTTTGCCTTATAACAGTAGTGCTTTGACTCTAACATAGGCAGGAATGAGGTTTATGGAGAATGGGAGGAGTTTGTTCATCTGTCCAGAGTTACCTATTATTACAATAGGACAAGGGTAAGTACTGACTGCATGTACATATTACACTTATGTTTTGTAAATTTAGAACACATATACTGGATTGAACATAAGAGATTGCTCTCAGGATCATATCGATAAGTTCAAAGCTTGGATTGAAGTAACACAAGGCCAAGTATAGGGATATCTACCTTCATTATCTGGTGGCACTGGAGGCACACATTATTGGCTGGCTGGAACCCTTAGATGGTACCCTTCTTTTCAGAAAATGTGACTCTGCCAATCGATGGAATCATAAATGTATGTGACTTTTTGATGTCTTTACCTGACCTTTGATATTGTGCAGGACTTGAACTTGAGGCCCAATTTTGGTAAGCAATCCTAAATGGTGGCATAGTATGATTCATTCACAAACTGCATAACAGGAAGCATGTAGAGTTTTTTCCCTGAGACTTCAAGTTGGATCACATCCTTCTACGACAATTGCGCAATGAACTTGATTGGTTTCATGCAGGTGAGTTCTATAGCATGCAGCACTGAATAGCCTGACCTGAATGAACAATAGATGCATTAATATTAGAAAGTTCCACCTCAACAACTATATTTTCCAACAGGGAGACAATGGAGGAAATCATCAGCTAATTAGCCAGTCTTGGTATGTTCCCATGCATTGCTCTATCGTACCTTGATGACCAGATATCAGATGGTCTTGCAGGACCTGAAGGAATCATAACAGAACCAAGTATTGTATTGCTTGGTTCATAAGCTTTCAAAAAATCTACAGCCATATCCTTATTTCATTTATGACAGGTAGACTATATCACTTGCTTCGTCGGTAGTCGCAAGGTGTTAGTACTGGACTGATTGCAGAGTCTATTGCAAAGGGATCTATCATTTTCTGTGTGAGCTGCTTGTTTGCAGGTATGTTTGCACAATTCTTCAGCGAGAAATTGAAATCTTTGCAATTTGTGGTTTGTTTATTTCATTTTTCAGTTGCTTAAGTCTAACATATAGTTTGCTAGGCCTATTACCTGGATCAGGGGATGACAGTGGTTATTATGGTGCTCAGCACACCCTGTTTTTTTGTATGATGAGGCAAGTCAACTTTTGGTCTGTCACTTGTGTTTACTTATAGAGAGAAAAGCATCACATGGTCTGGCTTTGGGTTCCTTGTGAGTGCCTTTATAGATGCCCAACACTTCAAACCTGCTCTCATTACATGTGCCTGCTGCCTAGCTGTTGTGGCAACCATTTTAAGCCCCTTGGCTTGGTATGGTTTACATGCAGGGGTGACACTGTATGTTCATCTTGAAGATGACTGATCTAAATAAGTAGGTTAAAGGTGGCTGGATGATGGGTGGTCTATTCATTATTATTTTTTCTTTTATCTGTTCTTCATTGACTAGTTCATTTTTATTTTTGTTTATTATCTAATGGGGTGGAGCCCTATAGTAGACAATACATGTGCTATTTAACTATTTATATATGTGCTCTGAGGTGTGTAAGGGTCTTTCTATTGGTCCAGACAGTTGCGAGGATAATTACGCCAACTGAAGGTGTATGAGATAATGGTAGAGACGGTGCAGGTTTCATTAGGCTACATTCTCTTCTTTGTCTCTGGATTGGGGGGGTTTACATCTCCGAAAACTTGTTCCAGCCTTCTTGTTCGTGTAATGTAGTGGAGCAGTGGTTTGGTGTAGTCTTGGTTATTGAAGAGTTTTCGTAGCTGAGTGGGGCAATGTCTGAGTTCTTTCCTTTAAGAAGGCTATGCATTGTCTTACGTATTTGGGGCAGACTAATAGGATCATTGACTAGTATATTTTAATTATTACAAGTGTCACCTACGGACAATTCTGAGCCAAAAATGAAAGGGGCTTGAGTAGAGTGTGCACATGGTGTCAACACCAATTGGAAATATAAAATATGTAGAAGCGCTATCAACACAATAACATAGTTGGCCCACATATGCTACAGGGGACAGTACATTTTCCTGATCATAAAATAATTACTGTATCATGGTCACATAACATAGTCATATAACCTCTTTATCAATCATTTAGAGGTGGACAACCAAAGATATGAGATAGTTAACTTAGGCTGAAATATCACCAGAAGGGCTGATGATAATAGGCCCATACCAAAGGTCCTCAATATTGCAGCCAGATGATACAGAGCAGCCATTGAGTAAATATCAGTTGTTATGTGATATAGTTATCCAATATCATCATCACAAATTGAGAGGTGGATAACCAAAAGTGTAGGACGATAACTTATATTCAAATATTGCCAAAAGGGTAGATAGAAGCAGGCCCATACCAAAGATCCTCAATGTTACAGCCATGTGATAGAGAGTAGACATCAAATAACTATGTGATATCTCATTGTCAAGCATTAACAAGGTTAGTCCAAAGGTACTTTGTTTGTGCAGACTTATCAAATATAACTAGATTTACCTAAGTCTCAGCATTTTCCTGATGATGGTAAGGATACCTATGAGTAAATTTGTATTGTGCCAGAGGACATACCTAAGTCCCTCTTTGCCACGCCTGATGAAACGATGATCAGCCACATTATGCAAATAGGTAATTGTAATGTGGAAGCTATGTACCAGTCCTTAATGAATCATATTTTTGGCCTATACATAGGCATCTTCATGGATGTCTATCTTGATGATATCATCGCACACTCGGACACTGCAGATAAACATGTACAATAAGTACAGACCATGATCAATATTCTGCATGATTAATTATTTCTGTCTGAGGGAACATAAGCTGCAATCCTTTAAAACTGAACTCACTATACTAGAGCACATCATTGATGACCAAGGTATATGTCTGGACTCACATAAGGTTGATAAAATCATGAATTGGAAGGCACCTACCTTGAAGAAACTGTTAATGCAGTTCATTAGCTCAGTCGGGTATCTAGCCACCAGCTATGATGCTATCAGGGTGCACATGCAGCATCTCTCAAAGATCACTGTACAAACCACCTGCTGGGACTGGACTCCAATAGATCAACAAGCATTTGATCTAGTGTAAGTATGCATTAATGCTCATAGAAACATAAGACAAAAAGCACTTGACCTACTGAGAGTATCAACAGCACCTCTCTAGTCAATCTCATGACTGACGTGTCCTTCATAGAAGCCAGTGATGTACTTTTGCAGGGTGACTTGGTCTAGCAAGCTGATGTAGCTGTGTTCTAGTCCAGGAAGTTTAACTCTGCACAACAAAACTACCTGGTTTACAAACAAAAACTATTAGCTATTGTAGAGTCTCTGAAAATATTTCAACACTTACTAATTGGCATTTAGTTCCATATCTTCACTGACCATAAGGGCCTGGAGTGGGTCACAACTCAAAACAAGTTGTCACCTAAACAAGCCCAGTGGTTAGAAGTCTTAAGCAAGTTCAATTTTCACATTAAGTACTTACCAGAAGCAGACAACACCCTAGCTGATGCACTGTTATGCATATACAGTAATGAACCTAAGGATATGTAAGGGCACCAAGCGAGTTTATCAGCATGGAAAAAGAGAATGCACCAAGGACTCTCCTTCTCAATTTTGTCACTGCCCTGGTGTACACAGGGACCCCTCTCTTTTTGGATGTCACTAAGAATAGGCAGCTTGTGCACCTGGTAGAGAAGCTAGTGAGTAGACCTGGCAAGTTCTAGCCAAGCAACAGGTGCACTAGGCACCCTCACCAAGGAGACCAGGATAGTGAAAGAAAAGGTGTTCCTCAATAGGTCTTGGCAAATCCACCAGGCAGTGGTATTTCTCAGCAGGTTCTAATAAACCTGCCTAGCAGAGGTGTTCCTCAACAGGTTTCGACATACCCACCAGACAGAGGCATGCCTCAACAAGTCTTGACAAGTCAAAGAGACAGTGAATATCAACAGGTTCTGACAAATCTATCTGTTATTTCAAAGCTACTAATCAACTACTGCATCAGTACTGATATGATTGGTGAAGGACCACTCATCAGGAGCAACATGAGATCCCTTAAAAAGAGGGCTAGCATGCACCAGAAAAAAGTGCAATCTCACCCTAAGGTGGTTGCCCATCACTCAGACCAATTGCATTCCAGCAACTTAGTAGACCAGGATATCAAAGGTGAAGGAGTGACACTGCAAGTTGGAGAAGAATCAGCCTCTAAGTGTATACTAGGAGACTCACCTGCCACTAGGAACAAGAGAATAATTCTAAAGATAGGTAGTAATCCTTCAGAATCACTGGAGGGCGGAAAGGTGTCCAGTGTGAGAATTGACAGTGCTAAAAGAAAGACAATAAATATGAGTCCACAATCTGATATAAGCAATGAAGTTATTTGGTCTAGACATTCAGAACACACACAAGTCCAGCCAGATGTAGGCAATGTCATGGGTATCCGGCACCCACTGTGGGTCATGGGTGTGGGTACCCAGGGGTATGGGTGGGGGTAGGCACTTAGGATACCCACACCCCTATCCACACCCACACAGTGGATATGTAGGCAAAAAAATTATCTTTACACTGTGATATATGATTCAACTTTGTCAAATATGCTAGTGGTGGTCTCAGTAAATGGTATGCCTAGGTTAAATAGCTAACAACTTCATTTTCAATAATACTATCTTTGTCATCTATATTGATTCCATTTATCATGTTATATGTAGACTATAGAAACACAACTTTGAACTTTGGTTCAGTAGTGTTCAATCCCTATGTTACTGATATGTTAACTAATTGATAAGATAAACTAGCCATAGACTCATCTTAAATAGCACTACAATTTTCATCAAGATACATAATGATAATAACAACTTGTGTTTGGCCAAACTCATCAATATGTATTTTTATTTTGCTCAAATTACTAAGGTAGATGACATCCAAATCCAGCCACATTTTGTATCACCTCCGCGTACAGGTTATTTCACAAACATACTGCATATTAGAGCCTATTAGCATGCAAGAATGTATTCCAGATACCTTTGGCTACAATATGATGGAAAAAAAATCAAAGAATATTTATTTCCTGTGATGTTATTTCGACTTTTATGAAAAGTGTCCAAAACACCTCGAATAGTCTTCAGACACAGACTGATGAGAGAACATAAATTTGATGTCGAGAATTTGGCCATGTCACGTGATATATAATCTTACATAATCCACCAAAAATGCGAAGCAAAGTCTACCAGGAGATTGGCTCACAAATCTCAATAAGCCAGCTATGGGTCGCAGAAAGACCTGCATTAAAAATAGGCTCAAGAACCTGCATAAAAATCCCCTTAAAGTCAAGTCCCAAGCACCAGAACCTGTCACATCAAGCACATCAGAGCCTGGAATAGACTGTGACTCCAAGTCAGAAGCATATACTTCTGATCTTGAGTTGGAGGACAGTGAGGATGAGGTCGTGCAGGAAATTCAAACAGATTCGGACCTTCTTGCCTTTGCTGCCAAACTCCAGGCAGCACATGACAGTATGGTTAGAAAGGAGAGGGAAAGACAAGAAGCCACAAAGAGAAAACCAGTCTACATGGGAAATTCAGATCGGACAAAACGGAGGCAGAGACTCGAGGGAAAGAAAATGGAGGCTGCTGGATTCCCATCCATAGTGTCATTCTTCCGAAAAAATGCAGAACCTGACAGCAGCAAACAGGAAGACAGAATACAGGTGCAAAATAATGGATGTGAAATTGGAATATGCTGAATGATTTTCCGTCAGATTACCAATGGCAGCCAGGTGCAAGGAGCCAGATATGTCACGGCAGATCCGGAGATTGTTGAGACCCAACAGCCATCTCAGTCCGAACGAGTCTCGAGATCTCCCAGCTTTGCGAAGAGCCAAGGCTGAATTGATAGTGAGGCACAAGAAAGATAATCTCAAAATGTTTATTTGTGCTCGTGTCATCAGTATGATTACTCTTATCAGTCTGTATATTGATCCAGAGCTTGGATTTGGGTGGACGAAATGCTCTAAGCTTGCAGCAGAAGCAACTGGAAGAGGGGTCAATCATGCCCGAAATTTACGCAGATGGGTTGTGGACTACATGTGATTCGGGACACTGCCCCTCCATAGATATAGCCAAATGGGAACCTCTATCCTTCAAGACGAGGACCTTGCACAACATATACATCTCCACCTCCAAGGCATTGCAAAGGACGGCTATGTGAAAGTACAAGACATTGTGGATATTATGGCAACTGCAGAGATGAAACAGTACCTAGAGTCAAAGACTAGCATCACCATTCAGACAGGTCAGCATTGGCTGCATAAGATGGATTGGAGATACAGGAAGGCAACAAAAGGAATGTACATTGATGGCCACGAGCGGGCTGATGTTTTCAAATATCGGAAAGGATTTTTGAGCCACATGAATGAGTATTCAAAACGGATGACAACTTACGATCACAATGGAAATGTCCTATCCCTGCCCACTGGAATTGATCTTGCTGCCGGAATCTACCCACTCGTCAAAGTGACCCAGGACAAATCTACATTCACGATGCATGATAGACAACAGACGAAATGGGACCACAAAGACACAAAGCAACCAGAGGCAAAGGGAGAAGGGCCCTCGTTGATGGTTTCAGGCATGTTGACTGAAGAATGGAGAGAGTTGAGGCATGGCAACAGGTGCATTGAAGATTTACCATCATTCCCAATTGTAACTTTGCCTCCGCAGTGAATCCCAAGTGCTGTTTAAGCCGGGTAAAAATCGAGACAGATACTTCACCAATGATGACCTTGTGAAACAAGTTGATAATGCAATTGATATCTTCGAGGAGAAGACTCACGGTTTCAAACGAGCCCTGTTCTTGTTTGACAACGCAACGTCGCATCAGAAACGGGCACCTGATGCCCCGAGTGCAAGAAAGATGGTGAAAAACCCAAAGCTTGGGTGGACGTGTGACCCAAATGGACCAAAAATGCGGAATACAACCTTGCAAGATGGAACACAACAAAACCTTTACTTTCCAGATGATCACCCCACAATGCCTGGGTGATTCAAAGGCATGCAAGTCATTCTGGATGAGCGTGGACTCTGGCGAGCAGGGCTTCATGCAGAATGCAAAGACTTCAAATGTGCCGAAGGTGCCATTGATTGTTGCTGTCGTCACACATTGTTCAATCAACCTGACTTTCAGAACGTCAAATCACATCTCGAAGAACTCATCACTGCCCATGGACATCTGTGTGACTTCTATCCCAAATTCCACTGCGAGCTCAATTTTATTGAGCAATATTGGGGTGCTGTCAAGCTTCTGTATCGCTCAGGTCCTCGGATCCACAAGATGGAAGATATGGAAAAGCATGTCAGTGCATGTCTTGATGATATTCCATTATTGCAGATCCAAAGGTAAGCTTGAAACAATCTTCAGCCAAACAACCACATCTAATGGCGCTGTCTCCAGGTATGCAAATCGTTCCACAAGGTTCATAGATGCATATACCAAGGGTCTTACAGGGCCACAAGCAGTTTGGGCGACGAGGAAATATCACAGACATCGAGTCATTCCAAATTCTATTTTGGAGGCTTTAGACACAGCGGGAAAGATATGATTGACTACAGTGTATATGATTTTGACAAGGCAACGGTGAAAGAAAAGATCGCGACTGGCAGATTTGGCCGTGGGAAACATGACATAAGCAATGTGGCACAGTGGTTGAATCAAAATGTCATCTACCTTACGACCTGTGAATAAAAGGTATCTCTTGAAGTTCCACCCTGTTTCTTCTTCCGACCTTGCTCCTTCACATCCTTTGTGGAATTGGAGAACAGCTTGATGTGTGCATCTTCATTTTTCTTGCACCAGGCAAATAGATGTTCCGTATGAGTGCTACGAACCCCCTCCCAATGGATAGTGCATTTCTCCCCAGTGTCTGTACTGGCGGATAGGGAACTGCATGGGTATGGGTACCGCTGGGGTACAGGTATGGGTCTGAGGTCAGGATACCCTTACCCCTACTCATACCCACACTGCAGGTATCAGTCAAGGTTTGCACTCTTTGTTTGACGCTTTGGCACATATTGCTTATGTTATATTGTTTGCTCTTGTTAGATTCTAAAGGATGCCACACTTTACTTCTCGCATACAACACCTAACCTTGCGACAGTGATACCAGCAATGGATTACATCGACAAGATGCTCACATCCTATTTGTACCACAAGAAATATCTGTCTTTGATTCATTCAGCAGTTTGGCTTGCAAAAAAGACACTCAACTGGTACTATCAGACCATCTTCTTCAACACAATACCTATTGTCAAGTCCCACAGCTGAAGTCTATTGTCATGTGAGTTGTCCTTGATCATTCTTGCTTGTCTTTACTCCTTGCTCGTTTTCTCAGACCTCCACTGCATCCTCTCATACATTGCACGCACCCTCTCATATCCCACACACCCTCTTGCACCTCTCAGACCTTCACCCTCTCGTACATCCTGCGCACCCTTCTCATGACTCCAATCCACCCTCTCATACATCCAGTGCATGCTCTCATGAGTCCATCAATCCTCATTCGAGCAAAATCCATGCTGATCCGAGTCATTGCCCACCATTCACAGTTGGTCAGTCCATTGATCCTGATTCAGGCAAGAGCCATGCTGATCTGAGTCATTGCCCACTGTTCGCAGACTATGAGTCCATTGATCCTTGTTCAAGCAAGAGCCATGCTGATCCATGTCATTGCCCACCGTTTGCAGTTCGCAAGTCTGTCGATCCTCATCTGAGCTTGAGCCACACTGATTCAAGTTGCTGCCCACCATTCGCAGGAGGTGGGTGTCTCATTTTTACAATTACTAACACTGGAAGCATGAAAAATCTTGAAAAAATCCTAAAAAAGGTTTAAATAAATTTCATGATTCTGTTGCCTGCAAAATGCTGGTTAAAATCTGAACTTTCTATCTACTTTTGTTTGGTGCAAAAGATTGATCTTAGTTAAATCTTAAGTCACTGTTCATCCACAATATTGTCTCAACACGTAGTTTAACCATTTGAACAATTTTTCTCTGGTACAAACCTAGACAAAACTTTGACTTTGTGCTATGATAGTGAATAAACTTTTGAATAACTTTTGTCAACATTTGTGCAACCATAAAAGTTGATGTTTTTATCACCCTTTTGTTAATGTATGCAGAAACTGTGCAATCACCACCTATACAGGCCTGCCAGTGTGCTTGTTTTGTACTTTTCCTCTGCTGTACATCTCCACACAGTAGTGGTCACTAATAAATATGTGTAGTACAGATGCAGCACATGGTTATTTATTTTATTATTGCTTCATCATCTCTCTCTTGATGTATTTGCCTTATAGGACGTCTATCTGGCATTTTAAAGACCTTTTCAGAATCACACTCAACTTTCAAAGCCATGTATGGAGTATTCTTGATGGTCCTCTACTCAGTCCATGGTTATTGTTTGATCACTATTGTCATAATTCACACTTTATGCTGCATCTTTTGCCCAGCTCTCACATTTCTCTTGGACCAAGGTAAGTTTTGAAAAGGCTCAAACCATGAGATCTCTGGTTTTAATGGCAGCATGATTGAGCCTCGCCCATTTAGTGCTGATATGTGATGAGTGTGCTTGTACTTAGCGCTAGCCGTTCTGCTGCCAGTGAGTCCTCTCACAAATATATTTCCATGATCCTTCAAGTCCAAATGTTTTGAACTCCTGGATCATTCAACAGAATCTCCTGGAACTAAAAGCAACTCTGAACCTACTGGCTCAGTGTAGTGGTACATTGTTATCCAGCGATTTCGAGTGCTTTGAGCCAATGCAACTACATATGTGGAAGGGATTGCACAAATTGGAAAAATACTGTAACCCTCTGTGTCTAAGTGACAGAATGTTGTCCATCAAATATTGTATTCAAATAGTCTCCCATGTTCACTGGTACACCAGCGTGTCCATCTCTTCTTTTGAATAGTTTGGTGAATATGCTTCTCCAAGCGACTTGTGAGCAAAATGTGAATCACAGAAAGTTCAGGATCATGAAGAGCTTCTACAAGGAGGTGGATCAGATCAGTGACTGTTACAGGCTGGCATTTATCAAGGGTATTGACAACGAACACCAAAGGTGAATACTCCCACAGCTTGAATTGCAGGTGCCAGAGAGGCTGGCAAAATAAGGCCTCATCTGATCATGAAGAGACTTACTGGAGTCTAGAACCTGTGGATTGTTGTGGATAGCTCTATTCATGTCCTTCTGGATGCTAGGAAAATTGCCCATGAGCTGGTAGGCAAGGGTCACAAAGAAATATTTGGTTGTGCTACATTTTGTGTGCTTGTGCGAGAAAAAGAATGTCCCTGCAAGCCTTGTTTCAATTTTCATCTCCTCTGTCATTTTCAGACCTCAGCCACAGTGAATGCCAAGGTCCATCAAATATTGTATTCAGATACCATACCTCACAGTCTCCCATGATCACTGGTACACCAGCAAAGTGAAGGAGACAAAAAAATACAAGCAAACTTGCGCAGTGCAGATGAAACACCTGTTGAGGTGGAGCACATGATGGGATTATTTTAGATAGGTTATCTCTGACTCTCTGGCAGCTCCCTATTAAATCATACATATAAAATACCAATAAGCTTTAGCTGATGTTCTGACACAAAATTCTCTCCTGAAAGCATTTTAAATCCCAACAAACTTTTGATTCACAGTAAGATTAATATATGTAACTGCAACAAAGTTAATGCATTGCATTGTTTTTGGATATAAAATAATAACAGCATAAGAAGTCTGCTTGAATCCTGAACAAAGGTAAACAAAAGTGAGAGACAAAATGTTGATCTAAGCTTGATTACTACATTGAATATTATCTGATGCATTATAAAAAATTCATCCAAGATATCTAGGTAACAAAAACATTAACAAAAGAGTGATAAAAACATCAACTTTTATGGTTGCACAAATGTTGACAAAAGTTATTCAAAAGTTTATTCACTATCATAGCACAAAGTCAAAGTTTTGTCTAGGTTTGTACCAGAGAAAAATTGTTCAAATGGTTAAACTACGTGTTGAGACAATATTGTGGATGAACAGTGACTTAAGATTTAACTAAGATCAACCTTTTGCACCAAACAAAAGTAGATAGAAAGTTCAGATTTTAACCAGCATTTTGCAGGCAACAGAATCATGAAATTTATTTAAACCTTTTTTAGGATTTTTTCAAGATTTTTCATGCTGAAAAAGTCTTTCATGCTTCCAGTGTAACTTCATATTTATATGTATTACCTGCAGGTAAACCCTGTATGGGTTAGTGATGTAAAAGTTCAGTCCTGGACTGTGGTTCAAACTGGATTTTTAGTGGACTGAACCGCAGTCCAGTCTGATGTTCGATGGCCGGGGAGAACCGAACCAGGTGTTCAGTTCAACATTCAGCAGTCCTTGGACTGTTTTGAATGTGTTCAAACGCGTGCAAACGCATACTTATTTTTTGCATGATGACTCACAACTTCATCAATATCCACCATCGATAAGTGTTGCCATTATCACACTTCACACAGATCGGTCATCGTCATTAAATAACCTTGCAAATAAACTCGGTATCCATCTATTTGATTTAACACTCAATCAAGAAGACCAATAGAGAAGACCTCAATGAGTCACGAGACGACCTACACTGTAAGCAAATCTTTCACGCAATAATGTTTGATCAACTACTAATACTTGTGTTGTGAAGACCTCTGATCATGAAGCTCAATAAAGCAAGAACACAGACTGGGACCACAGTGAGTTCCCTGACTTTCTCCCCCTCAATATGTCAAATAACTAAAGCGCTGTAGGTGCCGATGGTGCTCTTCTTGACGCCGGTGATATCACCTGGTTTCACGATGCTGATGATGATACTCCGCTCCCTACTTCTCATACACCTTTGCCACCCCCTGCCATCATGATTGCTGGCTCACGTTGCTCTGCTTGTGTTCCACGCCCTGCCTCCAAGCTTGTTGACCCCAACAATGCTGTCTTGGGCAAATGCAAAGCTACTGGACAGCGAGTGGTACTTACTGAGGATGAATCTGAAGATGCAGTTGCCAAAGACCCTGAGTGGGATGACACCAACAAAGTACTAACTGATGCAGGTACTGCAACTGACATGGATACATGTACTGATGATGACACCCCATCAACATATCAACAAACTAAGGAGATGGGTGACGCAGACCGTGAGGTAAGTGAACTCTCCATTCAATTTTTCGTCCAACTTAACTTATTCTTTGTGCAGGGTGCCAAACGGCGTAAAAGTGACTTGACCGCCAACATTCATACAATATTCACTCGTGAGTCGAACACTATCATTTCTGCCAATCATGCGCTGAGGTCAATGTGCCTGTCCTTGAGCTTCTACAGTGGGTCTGGACTCAGTGGGCCTCACTCGCCTTCTTCTGTTGCAGAAGGTGTGCTTTTTTTTCAATAACCAATATCATACTAATCATTTGCAGGGTGTCAACCACTTTGTATGTCTTGCTGATGACAGTGATGATGTGCCAAACTTGCGAAAGAAGCAGTATGCTGACTTCAAGTTAAGTCAAAGTGATTGGGTCCAGCTTTCGCTTCTCCGAGAAGTCCTTCAGGTGCAGTATTAACTTATCTTCAAGTCTTCTATATCTAACTATTGCACTGTCTTACAGGAGCCTGCCAACACTACTCAAAGTTTTTCTAGCACAAAGAATCCAACAGTCTGGCAAGCAATTCCAGTGTTGGAGTTCTTGCAGCAAAGCTGGCAAAATATGGCAGATGATGAGAAGTTCTCCAGCATTGCTGATGCATTACAAGCTGGCCTTGAGAATTTGGGGAAGTGGAGCCAGAACACAGACGAGACAGATGTGTACTTTATTTGCTTGGGTGCATCTCCATATACTCAATAATTCTATCATTGACTGATACATGCATTGAACAGCTTCAGATCCTAACTACAAACTCAAGTATGCACGAGCACAATGGGACGCAGACGCCTTTGATGAAGGGAAGAAAAAGCTTGAAGCTGCAGTCAGTCGAGCTACCATTGCAGTCAAACATTGTTACTAACTGTTCAACAGTTTGACTATTATCATGCACTGGTTACACCTCAGCCCTCACCATCCGAACCCATTCCATCAGTGTCCAGTCAACCACCCACACAATATGGGCATTCATGGATGTGATTGGCAATTCTAGCTCACCAATCATCTGAAAAAGCATCGCCAATCCATGTCATGAACTCGCCCTATACTTAACTAGCCCATTGGAGGAGGTGGCTGATGTGGTTCACTGGTGGGGGGTAAGTACTCTATATTGTATTGACTGGCCTTTGTTGATGTGCTTGCTCTAGCATCATTCCACCATGTACCCCACCCTTTCATGCATGGCAAGAGATTGCCTTGCTATTCAAGGCTCTTCAACGCCGTCAGAACGGGCCTTCTCAAGTGGTGGCATGACAAATGATAGTCGACGCAACCAGCTTACACCTCAGGTCTTCGAGGCACTGCAATTGTTGAAGAGTGCCTACCATAATGGGCATCTACAGGCTGCAACTGATGCAACAGCGCATGTCGAGCCTGATGCTAGTGTAGGTGCTACTGACATGTAGAGTACATGATGTTTTGATATTGCTGCAATCCCAAGTCTCTTTCGCATGCATTGAGTCGGAGATGTTCAGTGTCCGAACGCCAAACTGAACGTGAACTGAACATCCCAAACGTGTTTGACTACGTTCGGTCCAGTGTTCAGCAAAATCACTGAACCAAATGCAATGTCCAGTTCAGCATTCACCAATTTTCCTGGTGAACCAGACTGAACCAGACTTTTCCATCACTAGTATGGGTACAGGTAAGGGTACAGGCTTGCCATACCCCCCAAAAACCTGTACCCTTCATGGGGGTGCGGGTGCAGGTAAGGTCTCCAACACCCCGGGGTTTACTCATGCAGATCCCTACTGGCGGACACACTGGCTCGAACTCCACCACCTTGACCTCTCTGTCCAGAGCACGACATGATTCAGGGCATTTATTACGACCATGATTGATGATTGGATTGATGCTTTGGCACTGTTGACACCAGTAATGACAATGTCAAGCACATACGCTGACAGGGCAGCACAGAGTTTGAAACATGCCATACCAGCAACACAAAATCTTGCTCTGAATTTTTTTCTACATTCAACTTTGAGAACCATTATTCTATTTTTACATAAATGTTTCCCACAAAGTCAAAATACTCTCAAAGCCGTGGCCTGAGCCGCCGGCTCCCAGCTTTTCAGAATCATGGGCCGGGCCAAAGCCCTAGTCAGGCCATGACTTTGGCCTGGCCTGGCCTATATGTGCCCGGCCTAGCCTGGCCCATGGCTTGAGGCCGGGCCGTGCACATCACTAATGACACACACACACCCATTGATTATCTGCTGGTCTGTTACAACAAGCGAAACGGGAGGAACTAAGATAGATGGAGATAGCAAAGTAGATGATGAAGACACGACCATGACAAGACAATGGGTAAACGATAAAGTCCTTCAAATAGATTGGTGATGGAGCAAGTACAAACAAGAGTAAGGACCGAAAAGCGCGTGATATAGCGCAGGAAATTGTAAACGTATGAACTCTAGGGGAGGTCCGTCAGGGATATTCTGATAAATTGAATAAAGTATGCTGATATTAGAAGGCTGCACACAAAATCAGTGGCCGATTCGGCGTTTTATATGACGTCGGCGATGCTGCTCCACGCTTTGTTCCGATGGTGCCAAGGCGTTGTAGGTGGTACATAACTGCTTCCATGGGCCTACGGAAACCATCAATAAGGACAGGATATAATATATCAGTTCCGAGCCTTACTTGTTATGTTCAGGCCTGACGCAATATCACTGGTATCCTCTGCGAAGATCACGGCCATACCCCTAAAGAAGTTGAATCAGATAGTCGCCTAGCGGCAAGACAACACCTACTGTTCCAGGTGGAAGTCAATGTGGCTGGAAGATGTCATTTGAATTAACCAGCTACAACAATAGTTTCAGGATCGTACCAGTGAAAGATCCATGGCCCTGGATTATCGGTTCTAAAGCGAATTGTCACATTGTCTCCTGATTCACCATTGCCCGTCGTATCCCGTCGTACAGGATTGGCGTAGTTGTAAACCTCAGTTCCAGCACTTCTTACCACAGAGAAGCTGTGCTGTGCAATACATGAACTAGAGTGCCAATAGGATATAACAAGCGATACTTACCCCGTGTAAGTGGAAAGGATGCTAGAATGATGGTATGAGAGACATAAGGTTAAAAGGTATTAGCATCGCCTACCGGTCCCTCAGGCTGTCCGCCGGGGATAGAAAGCTCGATGGTACTGTTGCCAGGCAAAGTGTAAACCGACCCATAG